GTATTCATATCACCGTAACTGCAGTGGGTCCATCGTTCATTGCTTATATTTCCACTGTCTAATGTATTCTTTTCACGAAGTTTCCGATTGATAAATTTTTTTTAAAAAAAAATTCCTGTTACAAAAATAAGGCCTCAACAGCAGCCATATTGCTCAGGAATGTGACCACGTGACCAACTGCAGTCTACGCGAATTTGAATGCATTTCTTGTCAAAGGGTTCACTGTGACAAATACAGTGAGAGTGGAAATATTTTTATATGACCATATTATGAAATGTCAATGTGAAATATTATTGTCTGTCAGTTTGTCCCTGATTGTTCTTATACTTTCGAGAAGGTATGATTATGGACAGATTTAGAACTTGATGAAATTTTTCATTATCACCCAAGAATGAACATACCACAAGGCAATTAAGTTCATAATAATAAAGACAAATTAGTGAACGTTTTGATTAGTGATATTATTATCATATAAGAGAGCCCTATAGAATAACAAAAAAGTTCATGGATGTGATGTTAAATGTTCTTATTCAAACCAGTAGGTGTATATTATCTTGCCTGACATCTTGTGGTTTTTGTGAATGTAAAATTTCATCTAATTGTTATTGTAACCACATTTAGATCTATTTTTCTTATCCCATAAAAATGTCAATTTCTTTGTGTCGTGAACTTTAACATTGACATCTATAATTAATTGACATCATTAAGTACCATTTCTCTTCTCTACCTCCTTTTTATTTCTACTTAATTGAAAAAAATATCTTCCAACAAATGACAGAGATCTGTCAATATGTCATATCAATCTATCATAGCTCCCATTATGTGAGTTTGCTAAAGGTGGCTTAGCTTACCCACCCTTAAAAAGCAATATAATATAAGCAACACAGTTGTATGTCCTCTTATACTGAATCTAAAATACAATTTCAGCCTTCTAAATCCAGTTCGGACTGGGCATGTAGTCTGTAAAACTGTTGTTGAATAAAGAATTTACTGGTAATAGGTTGACTACTTTAATGATCGTCATTAGATCATGGACGACAAGTAGTGTAGGCATTGAAAGAAAGCACAAAAAACTTCCAGATCTGTATTTTTTAGATTGGAGATGAGATCTTGTCAAGTAAATATATAGGGGGAATTTTTATCTTCACTTTAGATTAAAATAAGATAAAAATATTACACTTGGGGCTTGGTGCAGTGATATCACTTGCATGCTACGCACACAGTTAAAATCAGAATGCCAATATTTACAATAAATGTATTGGTAATATTAAAAACCTGAAACACACTAATGAGGTTTGACTATTACATGTTTATATAATACATGTAGATTTATAAAGTTTTTAATCTTTCTATGAAATTTATCATGCTGCTGTGGGACTATGTTATCTTGCAAGTCCTCTATGAATTGTTGTGCAATTTTTATTGAAGTGTTACCAATTGAGTCAATGTGTTGTAGATTGTTGCCTGACAAATCATAACCAATCATAATTTGAATTGGAAATGGTTTCCTCTAGTTTCCATGCTAGACTGTAGTGAGTATTGTATAAAACAAGAATACCCAAGTGAAATGAAAGTGTAATTTCTTGTCATGAAACAAATCATTATTTTCTATTTAACTAGTGCTATATAAAAGTTAATCATCTCTAGAGGTTGTCAATGACAATCAAATTATCACTTCAATTGCTGCTCTTTTTATCAAATTTGTAAATTTCTAACATGTCCAGAGCTATGGTAATTTTAATTTCAAATTACTTTTTAATTTTTGTTGGTTTAGACTAGAAATACTTGTAATTAAAACAATGGAGAATGATATTCGGGTTTCTTGCAGGGTTTTGTTTGATTCTCTAACATCTTTATTTATTGTCTTGATTTCTTGAAAATATTAGATGTCAAATAACTTCTGAAAAATAGGAATTTCAAACAGACAAAAATTGAAGCACAGAAAATTTAAAGCATGCAGTAGACATTTTATTATGGATGTTTTTCACCACTTAAGAGATTATGGTGAAATGGCTTTTTTTTTATTTCATATCATATATAGAGTTTCCAAGTTCTTTTCCACTTGAGAATAGAGAGGATTTCTAATTTTATGCAGTTGTGAGATTTCCTGCTTTTGAAAGACATTGATGTATTCCTACTCAGTCATTTTCACACCAGAATTTGGCACATGAAATACGATGCAAATTGTAATTCTAACTTTTTATAGCCAGCCTATAACATAAACACTTAACTTCAATTAGATGTCTGAAAACATACAATGGTAGATTCTGAGATATCTGAGAGAACAAAAATTCCTTAATTCAACTTCATCTAAGGTACATTTACACCCAGATGAATTTCTTAATTGTAAATGTTTGGCTTTGGATTTAATGCTTATATCTTTTAACAGGAATTTATTTCATGTTTTTCAGTGACAGTCTGGCATTTGCAACGGAACCAATATTTGCAAGTCTATCAAATATATTAGGAAACTATGAACGAATGCCTGCTAACATTCCTCAAGAATTAAAGGTAATGTATTACATTTTTTAGGGGCCTTATTTTTGAAAACTTACAGGAACTTTTTAGGTATTTTTAGTGTTCCAGTCATCTGATTGGTCATTCACTAAAATTGGCTTTAGATTAAGTATTATTTTTTTTTATGTTGTCAAGTTTTATTATCTTATAAGATTACTGTTTTTCTTAAAATCAAGATTTTATTTAAGTTAAGTTTTAGAGAATAAGGCTCCTGATCACTATTTGTGTAACTACTTAATACCAGGTTGTCCTTTATACTTAATAAACATTTTCTTTGCCACAAAAATGTGGAAAATCATGAAAAAAACTTAAAAAAAAAGAAAAAGAACTGAAACTCAGATTGGAAATGAAAATGAAAAAATAAATTCAAATTGACCAATGTTTCAGTAAATCATTTCTTGTGATTGATATATCATTATTTATCATCAATTCCAATTCTTATTTCCATTTCATATAACTATTTCATATTTTACTCCAGTTCTACCATCATCTAAATCAGTACTGATAGCCTAGTAACTTCTGACTAGAAACAATATTCAGTACCATAGTTTGATTAACCTTTCAAACTCTCTATAACATTGGTATACATGACATTTATGACATTCTTATGACTCCGGTATAATTGATTTTTGTTATGTATCATTTTGTTTTCAAATAATTGTCACTTTATTGATTATGGAAATTTTTTCCTTTCAAGGGATCAATACTGGATTTTTTGTGTGTTTTTAACAAACTTGAAAGCACGTAGTCCTTAATTTTGAATTTTTCAAACTTCGTACCATTGAAATCTAATCCTAATCCTTTTAGTACAAAGATTATTATTAATGAGTGGATAACATGTAAAAAGTACATTTTTTACAAAATATCTCAATTTGCTTTATTGCATCTCACAGTCAATGGCTCTATTATTAAAAACTTTTGTTGAAACTAATACCCAGTTCGCACAACTGGATTTTTGTAGAAAATCAGATTGAGTTCTATTGATTCGATTCTTTTTTAGTTTTGCTTTTACACTTCAATCCTATCTGTAAAGCCACTATCCCTTCGCAGAGAAAAATTAACTTTTTATTTTTAGTAACACGTCCTGTTACAGTTGTTACGGAATTGAACTACAATTGTGATCATTATAAAATATGAACTCAATAACAATACAATTTTTTTCGGTTCCTTTTCCGATGCATACTCGTGTATTTTATTAATCCCTTCTTTGTGATTTTCCAAACAGGAGATGGCATTTTGAGTGTTTATTCAGGTGATATGGATAACTTCGTGTTTGGTATCGCACTTCCAATTATCTAGATCGTATCCAGACGAAATCCACCTCTGGAGGTCATTTTTTCTATCTGATTATAACCGAACAAGGTCATTGCAAAAGCAACGGGAAGTTATTCGGATAGAGTAGAATTATTTTTGCAGTGCGAAAGGGATATTAGCTTTCAAGTTATCATTGTATATAGGCCCTACCATGTCACTGTATCAATTTAAGTTGAGAGTACCATGGTTCACTTAGTCAGTATAAATCCAGATAATGCAAAAAAGAAACATTTTTGGTATGAGAAGGGTTCCCTTCACTGGTGTATTTTTCACAAGATTCTTGTGGTGTTGTGTATGAAGAAGCATGATGGATTCTATAAAAATGTAGTAGTCTTGAACAAGTTAAAGAGACAATACTTGGGGTCTTTACACAATTGACAATTTTATGCGTAGGCACTTTTTTTTGCTTCATACCACTTTCCTGACAGATGTCGTAGGTTCCTGTAATTCCAGAGAAATCTGATCTTAATTTACAGGAATCGCATACGTTGGGTGAGAAATCTAAATGCTGCATGTAGAAGCTATATGTGTCCGTGACACACAAATGGGCTATAAATTCTCTTTTAATCAACAGCTACGTAAGATTTTACGCAGCGTGGGTTATATTAAAGTCTATTTCTAGTAACATGTTTTGATTGGTTATTTTTGATTTATTTTAGGACCATGAGTTTATAGATATGGAAATTAAATATGGAATTTTTCAAGTAAGTAAATCTTTTGTGAATTATCTCTATATAATTCAATTACATAATGAATCTCATATTACATATAACTATGATGAGATATTATATATATGTGAAATGATATGGTCAGATGTTAACCACTTTTATAAACACAATTTCTTAAAAAACAGTTTTGCTGGCAAATTTCCCATTGATGTCATTGGCTTGTTTTTCTGATATGAAGAAACTGATATGAAACATTTTGCTAACTGAACAGCGCAATTGTAGAGATATAGTACCTTAGAAATTTCTTGAGGCTTTCCAAAATTCTGACTATGTTGAGGTCTTGTTGAAAATGATGAAAAGCATAGGTTCAGCACATTTCATACTAGAAAGGCTACTTTTCTGGTATATAAATTTTGATGGTAATGGCTTAATCAGCTAAAAACAAAAATGTTTATAGACTATTATCTTTAAGGTTTTATCACTGAAATCGCAAGTAGTAGTTAAAAATGGACAAGTGTATTATATTAAGTTTTAGAGTATCACTTTCAGATGATATTAACTAACTAAAAACCTTCATATATAGTGTTTTAAAATCTGTCAGCCCATGAGGTATCATTAAAAACCATTTTTTACTCCAGTAATATATGAGTATGGAACTCTTTGTTTACTTTATCTCAAGCCTCCAGGATATTCTGAATGTTTTCAACTCATTTAATTCATGAAAACGGAAATATTGATAGATTAGGTAATAATGCTTTCAGATTTATTGCCGTGGTAACACTGAAGAGCTTTCTTATTAGGAAACTGTCATAAAGCGGAAAATTTGCCTGCAGTCAATCAACACTTGAAATTTTAAATGAAGCAAACATCAGACAGTAGGGGTCAATAAAAATTATCACCTTCAGCGAATAAAGTTTTATTAAAATATTTCCATAAGATGACCTCCTATAGTGTTTTAAAGATAAATCTATAGTGTTGTCAAGATGGATCATTGTCTTTTGTATTCTTTACATTATTCACAGAAACATACACAGACAATCCAACACTTGTTATTTATAATACTAGAATTTATCAAACAAGTTTTTTTTTGTTTTATTTTGAGCCTAGTGAAGTAAATGTTGAGGTTATGGTAAAGTAAGAACACTTAATGAATAATAGCACAGCACAGATTGTTCAAAATCTTACAACTAAGCCAAATTGTGACACTTTAGAGAATGAACAAACCAGACTTTTGGTTTATCTGATCCTGTAGAAGGACATTAAGACTGGAATTAACTTTAACTTTCAACTTCAAATATAATCATCTGTCTGTATACAATATCAGGGGATCAGATTTTTTTGTAAAAAGTGCTATAGGTGGATTACAACTAGCTGATAAGGAATGATTACAACAGAGCATGTAGTCATCTCCAAATCATATACTACCTGCATGTTAACACATTTCATTGGGACAAAAATGATTTTAAAAAAAATGCTTAGGATGTCTTAAACTAATGATGCTACTCTTATCATTGACTTCCTGTCTAATTAATTAGTCTTACAGTATGAATTGAAATGTTAATTAATCATCTAATTTTTATATTTCAGATTACAGAAGCATTATCATTCTTACACAGTTCAGAACATTTAATACATCGTAATGTTTGTCCTCAATCCATCCTTATCACAAAGCGTGGTGCCTGGAAACTGGCTAGCCTCGGCTTTGTGGAAAAAACGAAAGAAGGAAAGGTAAGAAACAATTTCTAATTAATTTACATATTACCAAACAAATTGGCTATAAATGGGTATGAATACTCTTCATTTCTAGACATTTAGGCTAAAAACTAAATAAGACATGTTAATAAACAAAAAGGGAAGATTCTCTGGGTTTTTCTTTTTATTGTTGGATTTCATCATCTGTTCATTATGTATGAAAATATTGACAACTCCTGGATCAAGCTGCAATACAGGTCTTATTATTGAAAACTTTACTTTCTGTGATTTTTATCAATTTTCAGTCATCTGATTGGTTAATCAGTGAAAATCAACTGTAAATTTAGTTATATTATCCAATCAAATTACTCTAGTTTGACTTAAAATCTGGATTTTATTTTAGTTAAGTTTTTGTTAGTAACTGTTGGTTACCAAGAGTTGTTTCCATGTTTCCAAGAGCATCAGGTTTTCGAAATTGGTCATTACACAAAATAATGAAGACATAGTACCTATTAGCGAAAATAATGCATTTTCTTATCCTGTTACTTTAAATTGAGCTCATTAGCTTTGACATGCCGGGTATCAAATGTTTTGACATAATAAATTTTCTATTGTATAACAAGATAGTTATAACCCACGCATAATATAAAAGGGAATTACCCTGCAGTGAGATTTTGTAATTTACTAATGAAGTAATTTGGTTTTAAAATCTAAAACAGCTTGAGACTGTTTTCACCTACATTCTTTTATATTTATAGAGTTTTAAATTTTTAATCAATTTTCAATCAGTTTCTTCTTTCAGGGAGATTTTTTTTACAATGTATAATATTTTAAGCTTTGGCTTATACATAATATATCTTTCTATTTTCAACAAATTTGAAAAAAAGTTTTAAAAAGCTATTATTCTGAGATTAATTATTTTTTTAATGCCACAACATTTCATTATGTTATTATAGATAGTTACCACGTCATTAGGGTATTCTACAGTTGCTTAAGTAAAATATAATGCTCATACATCAAGTAATTGTTATTTAGATTGCTAATTGTGTTAGACAGTTCCTTTTAACTCCAGGCTTGTCTTGCCATTTAGTCTTTAATATTGTCTTCTTATCACTTGAACTTCTTAAAGATACATTGACTATGTTGGTTATTATGTTATTATCATGACGCCATCTTGTCCTTCAGTTTAAACAGCCCAGTTCTGAATGACAGGCTCTCCAGACAGATTTATTTTTAAAGTATTGTTACTTAACACTTCTAAATAGGTCAATAGTAAGTAATCTGGTTTCATGGTACTTAATACCATAAAAATAGTCACATCAATCATAGGTTACCTAGAATGTAGCCTATAGCTTTCAAAAAGTGAAAAAATAGTGTTTCCTATTATGCATTCATATATATATTTGATTAACAAACAAACCTTCAACACTGAAAATAAACATACAATTATTTTTAAAAATGTAGAAATTCATGACTTTAAAGGAATATGCTCTTGAGGAAAATTATGAAATTTTGGTGCCAAAGAAAAAAAATGATTAGGTGATATTCAGGTCATCAATTTGATTTTGAGAAAGATTTTGATAGGATACAATATGACATGAGCAAGTTAATACTTCATTTATATACTGAATTTGATATTAGGAAGTTTTGATCATTTTATACCATAAGGTTTATGTTATTCTTCACTAACAGTACATGAAGCGTTTGGATTTGATCATTAAAGAGAAGAATGTCTTTAAGCCATTGGTAAACATGTCTTATAATCCTACTATATGATCAACAAATAAAAGAAAGAACTGTATATTACCCATGTACTTTAAAGTAATAAAATAGCATTTCTTTCAAACTAACATCTCTAGCTAGTAGACAGACAATGTTATGACTTACAATTGAAGTGTAGGATCTCCCACAGCTTGATAAAATCTATTTGTGAAGAAACATGAAATTCAGGATATTGAACTGAAGATATAATATTCAACAATATTTCTTAAAGGAATTGTGAAGAGGTTTACTGAACTTTTTAAGTGTATCAAGGACACTGATATCATCAATTTGCACTCGGATGTCAGTGGTTCTTACTATTCCACTTAAAGTTATTGTTTTATGACGACACTATATCACAAAAGTTGCTATTGATATATAAGGACCTTTGGGATAGTCACTTCATAAAACACATAATTCATGTGGAATTGCAAGAACCACAGACGTATGACTGGAAATTGGTGCAAATTGATGATATCAGTGTCTTTGATGTACATAAAAGGTTTAGAAAAACTCTTTACAATGCCTTTAAGTTGTTCATAGCATTTTGTGTTGAAAAACAACACCATAAACACTTTAAGTAGGGTTTTCCTGTTTTGAGCGAATTTAATAAAGTTTTTTTTCCATTTGAGGCATTAAAAATGTGAATTTAATCAAGATTTACAGCTACTTGTTGAACACAATTTATTCACGCTAGATATTTATAAGTGTCTAGAGATTTCTCTGTTAGTTCATACTGGTTCTCACAGGAATTTACATAAAGCAGATTGTGTTGTAGATTCTCAATACAAAAAAAAGGATTTAATGTAGAATAGAAAAGAAATATATTTTTGTTATCATGATATACAGACATTAGCTACATGATGTCATACAATAATAACACATTATAGATGACATCTTGTTTTTTATGTCTGGTTCAATCCATGCGTAAAATAATACAAACCACAATTAAACTATATTCAGGTTTTTGTTGCAATTTTAAAACAAAAAGGCTGTTTTAATTGAAATATGTTCTAAACTGGAAATTATGCAGACTTAATCGGACTTGACTGTCATAATAGACATTGCCAGATGTCATTTCAAATTCAATACAATCACAGCTTTCCAAAACATTTTGTTCAAAACAAAATATACTTTTGCATTTTATTGTTAACTCTGTGTGGCAGGTAGTATGTACTGACATGGACAAATTGTCTAGTTTTTTGAGTTCAATATTTGAACTTATGAGCTATGTTTTGATTTGTGATTACACACTTCTGTCTGTCTGTCTGTTTTCTTCTGTAAGACCAGACAATTACATACCAGACACATATATACCAGACACTTATATACCAGACGCTTGTATAATATAATGATATAACTTCTATTATAACAGGTTACTTGTTGTTAAAGTGATACGGTTGTGTAAGTTTTTGTGTAACCATAGTTTTTAGAGCTGATTTTCAGCTATTAATAACACAGAATTAAAATCTGTAGTCTGCAAACATACGATACCAATGTAAACTGTCAAAGCCATGGCATAAAGAATCTAGCATGCACGTATTACAACTGACACCTTAATAACAGTAATAAGAGCATATGGGAAGGTTAATAAGTCTAAACAGTCTAATTTGATATAGAACAATTGAGTTCACCCAAGATTATTAGCTGACTGTATCCCTTTACAAGATAAGCACCTTACTTGCGAAGTCATTGAAGATCTTGACATTCAGTAAATGACTTCACATGTACTTACAGAATAATATTCAATTTCTAGATGTCTGCTTAAGGGATATTATGTCTGTAATGGAATTATTGAATATTCACTTGGTTCCATACAGCAAGCTCAGCATAAAATCAATATAAGCTTGAAGACACAGTTTTTAAACGGAAGTTTGCGATAATCTTATTGTACAGTAATTTTATTTGACAAAATGTCATTATGGGTTGGTTTTATAGAATTTGATTGAATTTTATACTGATTGACGGTTGCCAGTAGGTGATGATTGAATTTTCACTATGCAGATAATTTCAGACATTACCATTAGTTGTACAGAATTTTTTTTACTCTTAGTAAATATTCAATTAGATGTTGAATCTATAGAATATTGATCAGAAATAATGATTTAAAAGAAATAAAATCAATGCTTTCACGTCATTAACTGGTAAAGTTAAATTGTTGCTTTTGTTATCTTATCAAAAACTATGCTGGGTTGCATTCAGCAATTCGTAACCAGTTTCTGTAGAGTTATACATTCTATATTGTAACTATCTGTTAAGCAATTATATTTTGTTATCCATATCTTATGTATCTATTGGCTTTAAAATGTGGTTTAATGATGAGAAAAACATGTCACTTAATATAATCAGTAAAAACATGGTTTTGAATATTGTCCGCATATTATATTAATTTTTTATTTTAATCTTTTATTCTGCCCATTATGTAATTCAGCAGAATTGCCCTCTATAGACTGTATTTATTGGATAAAAATCTATCTCGGTAATTTTTACACAAAGAAGACAACTTTAATTCCTCAAGTGACATTTGATAATCTTTAACTATTTCTGGCTTCTTTCTTCTCCTAAGACTTTTTTGCAACAAGGTTTTTCTCATGTTGAGTTGTTGTCATTTGTGTCAGGTGAAAGCCTGTTATAATCTCATCTTTCTCTTGCTGTAAACTCAAACCAGTTTCCTGTCACTCACAGTTTTAACATTTCTATCTTCAAATCAATTCATCATTGTTGAATATCATTTAGTGAGGCAAAATTTCACTCTTACAATCTTTCGTTCTTAAAGAAATCAATTTTAGGCAAGTAACTTGTTGCTATTTTAATGATCTTGATGTTACTTTACGATAGATTTATGGCTCTCCAGCCAGTTTTAACAAACGTGACGAAAGCTTCATAATAGCATTTTTTCAATACCATTTTTTCCATCTTGCTACTTGTCTTGCAAGTTGATTTAATCCTGAGAAAAATAAGATTTGTGTATTCTCAGACATTAGTTTAAGTCAATTTATTTCTGTTTTTATGAGAAATAATGAAATAAAGTTGAGGGTTCTTTGATAATAAATCACTTTCTTCCATATGAGTTGTTAAGACTTATTTAAACGTAATGGTTTCATGTATTATATATCTGACATTCAATAGCTCACTTCTATCAAGTCTCAGATGAGTCCTTCATAAAAATTCCTTCAATTATTCTTGACACACTGAATGTCTTTGTAAAGAGGAAAAATATTCACTTGAAACAATGGACGGCCTCAAAGAGTGCCATCAGTAGATGGAAGAGGTTTTTTTTTATTACAATTTTAATTTTATAACATAAATAAAATTCCATCATAATCTCTTGTCCATTCACATTGGGTTATAGACTTAACCAGATTTTGATGAAATGCACTTCCATTTTGACTTATTTTTTGGCAAGGTTTTGCATATATATATGTGTAATGGTAAGTTGAGATCAAAAAAATACGCTTAAAGTTTTCCGTTTGTGGTGATTTACTGTTTTGGGCAACAATTTCAAAACTATTGGCTTGAATAATGCTGTCTCAGGGTTGAAACACTTTGCAAACCATTTGCCATTTTGAATGCTATTAACAAGAAGTAAAAGTAATGGTATAAATTTTATCATTTCAGGAGAAGTCATCTTGTCAGTCATGGACAACAAAAATACCCAAGATGGCTCAACCAGATTTAAATTTCATAGCTCCTGAAGTTCAACTTGAAAAAATCTGCACACCATTAAGTGATATGTTTTCACTGGGCATGGTGATTTGTGCTATTTATAACTCTGGTAAATCATTGATATCAGCAGATCATTTACCTGGCCTTTATGTTAAACAATTAGATCAGGTTGGTATTTAGCTAGTTTATTAAATAGATTCATTAACAGAGGAAACAGAAATTGTACACCAATAATGTCAACAACTATCTCACATGTCAGACCACTAACTCAGACACTACTTGAAAGCAGATCCAGAAATGAATCAAAACATCAATATTAGAAGTCCATTAAATTTTTAAGGTGGAATAAAGGGTAACTAGAATAATACAACTCAGAAATTTTGATTTCACAACTTAAACTATCAAAAATCATTCAGATTGCTCTTGATGATATTTTACTCATACAAAGATGTGCTCAAATATCTTTGCTACATTATAGTTATTGAACAGTTTGTTGCCAGTGATGTATACAATACAGACACAACTGTTATCTGTCATCTATTAACAGTGATATATATATACTATTCAAACACCGACACAACCTGTTATCTGTAATCTGTTGCCAGTGATATATACGGTACAAGACAAACATAGACACAACCTGTTATCTGTCATCTCTTACCAGTGATATATACGGTACAAGACAAATATAGACACAACCTGTTATCTGTCATTTCTTACCAGTGATATATATATATATACTATTCAAACACAGACACAACCTGTTATCTGTCATCAGTTGCCAGTGATGTAAATATACTATTCAAACACAGACACAACCTGTTATCTGTCATCTCTTACCCGTGATGTAAATATACTATTCAAACGTAGACACAGCCTGTTATCTGTCATCTCTTACCAGTGATATATATATATATATACTATTCAAACACAGACACAACCTGTTATCTGTCATCTGTTGCCAGTGATGTATACTATACAAACACACACACAACCTGTTATGTGTCATCTGTTACATACTAGTGATGTATACGGTTAAATACAAACACAACTTGTCATCTATGGTTTGGACATAAAACGCAACTGTCTACTGCATATGATGTAAACAAAAGAAAGAGAACAGTCACTGCTATTTGTCTGTGTTTATCTCTCTGTCAGTGATAAAGTTAAAACAGACACTACTGATTTTTGTCATTGATAATGATACAACAGACTCTTCTGTGTTATCAGATCTGATCTGCAGTTTTGTTTCAAGTATTTCCTACGTGTAAATAGTTATACATCTCCTGTTAGATTTAATTAATATTCAATCAATCAAATGTTCTGTTCAATAAAAGGTTCCCTGACTATATATGTTGGGAATTCTGGGATATACATTATAAAACGACAACTTATATCGATAAACTGTTTTTAACAGTGGTAAATGATAACTTTGGATGCTATTAGATCAAAATCCCAAAGAAAAAGAATCTAAAGCTAGAATTTTGTCAAATCATGGGTGGTAAATGTAGAAATCTTTAAAAAAAGAAAAATATAAACAAAACATCAAGATATGTATTTTTTTTTTATCAAATTGCAGTGATGTACAAACTAAAAGACTGGCACTATTGACCACTATCAGTGATCTAGTCAATGCAATAATGAACTGACAAAAAAAAGTATTGCCAGAGACAACTGATGTCAGTAAAATAATCTTAAAGTACAGAAATGGATTTTGAAGGTATGAAATCTTTCTTACATTCTAGATGCATGAAACATTTGGAATTGTTGCTCATCGGATGCCATTACAGTTGGTAGAACCTGTAGAGAAAATGATAAACAGAGATACGCGGTATCGACCGACTGCTCAATTATTTTCTATGGTAAGAATCATATTTATTACTATCTTACTGTAGATATTGGAACTTCTATTAAGTTTCTCAGCAATCTTTTTAATCTTAGAGGATGATTGAGGCATAGATTGAAATAGATTTTTCAATCAAATTTACCTAGTCTGTGATGCAGGTTGAAATAGAGATTTCAGATTTTTCAACGTAGTTTACCTGATCTGTGATGCGAACATAAGGACCGGGATGGACATTTGTATGGAACACTAAATCAAGGCCCAATTGAATGCTGAAACTTGGAAATAAACAAATAAAAGTCTAATACTTCTGGTCAATTTCCCTCATTGTTCACTATATACTGCTGTCTGTCTGTGTCCAATCTGAGGCAGAAAAGTAGAATGTAAAAAAAAGTCTATCAGAATCTCTGTCAATGTTCCAGTTTCTTGCCAAGCAGTGTCATTAGTCTAATAGACGTAGACGTATAGAATATCACAAGTTGTCATTTCTATAGCTGTCTTTTCTCACACCATTACATTATCATTAGCCAGATAGGTGTAAGTAATGTAATTCTGATTCTACATGTATAACAGTAAATAAGCTCCCTGGAATGGTCATTTTCTCACCTGTTTGGGTGCCAATTTTATCAGATTGTACCAGTGTTCACTAATTCACTTGTCATGTGAAAAAGAGACTCAGCTAAAATGATGTCCCAGATTGAACACAAATGCATCTTGACTTGAGATTAGGGTATTTGAAAGGTAACTGACACAGGGTTAAAGCAGTGTTACTAATTAGAAAATTTAAGTTAATTGAAATTTGAGTAATTGTAGGTATATTTGAACCTAAAAATTGTAAATTAATATGTCTTTAATAGTCACATGATTTCACGATAACCATCTTGTAATAATACTTATACTGGGTAGGACAAGGACAAGATTTTTGACAGAAATAATTTCATATACTGTATGTTAAGGAAAATTGTTGATATCATTTCATTCTCATGACTTGCAGTAATATTGAAGACTAATGCCTGAATAATTGAAGTTTATAGAAATTACATGCAATACACTTTATCAAAATGATTGAAATGAAATAAAACAGTTAGAATGAGTCTATTTGGTCTGTGTTGTTTGTTTACCAATGGAACAATGAATCATAACAATTACAATATTTCATATTTCTATTCTATCAAGATATGATACAACAAAATCAATAAATTGCATTATTTTGTCCCAAGGTTATAATCACGGAAGTGATATCTAATGTCGTGGAACTTTCTGAAAATTGGAAAGCTCCAGCAAGGCTTTTGCAGAAATAAAACATTTAACAAGTTCAGTTACCAAAACTTAATATTAACAAAATATAGAAAGTATAACTGTTCTAGTAAAGGTATTTATTTAGTTTCATTTCTTTGGACAGAGGGTGTGAGAATCTCAATTTAATGAAATGTTTGAAATAAAATGTTTTTATAAAATATTTTTCAAATCAATTTCCCTGCAAATGAAGTGTGTATCGTCATGAACTACTTAATATAAATATTATTATCTTCATTGCAGTGGGGTATTTAAAACATTTCCTACATTACCATAGGAGTACAAGTTGAAAGACTGTTGAGGGACAGGCTGGTTTGTGCTATGCCTATGTACATTACAAAATTTTTCACTGGGGATGGCCCCCTAAACCCTCACCATGCCTAGTGCCCTATAAAGTCTGCACTCTATGAAATCCTTACTATGCCACTGCTTCATTGTCTAATCAACACATCCAAACTTTTTACATATTTCTACTGTGTTTTGATTTAAGAGGTAAAGCCTGCATCACCGACCAAAAAAATAAATATGCTTGATTTTATGTGATTTTTCAACTGGGCAATCAATATGATTGCATATGGCCAATTTTCTGTATAAGTGAAATATATAAAAATGACATGGGAAACCCCTTTTATTTGGTTGAACCACGATCCAATTGTTTTATTTATAAGGGGATATAAATCAAATGACGATAAAGTGTCATATACCAAACTGTAATTTGATAAGAAAAATCCAGACGCTCAAAAACCTGATCTCCCAAATAAATGGATATGTCAGACACACAGGTTTAAAATATTTATTTCTCTTAACACATCAAAAACAAGCTGTCTGAAAGCTGTCGGTGTTTTGTGGTATGAATTTTTACATGATATTTACTGTGTAGTGTTATGTTGTTAACAAATGTTCTTTCATCCAGATCTTAGCTCACAAAAAATATTATTTGTTAAAACTCAAAGGAATAGAAAAATATTATTGGTTGTTAAAACTGAATCTTAAATTATTTTTATTGAATTTTTTATGTGTTTTATAATGAATTTGATGTCATCGATTTGCACCATTCCAATTTTCAGTCTGACGTCTGTGGCTCTTGTAATTCCACTAAAACCAAGCATTGTATGAAGTCACTAACACAAAAAATTATATTGATATACAAGAACATTTGTAATTGTGATGTCATTAAACACCTTTAATTGGCAAATCATGTTAATAAAACACAAGATAATTGATCTAAGTTTTCAAGAAACTGTCTAAAAAGTATTCTTATAACTGAAGTTATGACTTTATGGCATATGCCTATGTGTATAAAGTTTAAAGCTGTAAACTTAAATTTCGATGATGTTTATATAAGTGTATATTGACAAATAATTGGATATATCTTCAAAAACTTATGCACAATCATTCAGCAAGACAGGGTATAAATGATTTTAAACAACCATGTGTGTTTTATTAGCATTAAATTCTTTGTAAAGAAAAAAATACTGTATTACTAATATACACTAATTACTTGAGAATTTAGAAAGAAAATAAATCAAAGCACCTCATTATGAAAAGGTTTCTAATCTGGAAGGTAAATTAATCATTAACAAGTTTTTCACAAGGTAAATAACATGTGTTCAGAAAGCTCATTTAGATTATTTATGATGTCATTTGCAGCATAAATTTCCAATATCCGTTAAATGATAGTTGCTAAGCCTTTTCTAAAATACCAATTTACGAGGTAAAAAAGATATATTAGAAATGTTCATCTCTTGAGTTGGTCATTAAAGATTATTACTACAGTATTTATTGGTTGAATAAACATTACTCCAGATGAACATTAAGATTAAAAATCCATTTTCTATACTGATTATTTTCTGCCATTTTTTATAGATTTATTTGAGACCAACATTTGAGCTATGATTGTTTGATATTTCATCAAAAATGACATGGTAATTTTGAAATAGTAGTAATGAGGCATTTTGTCTAGACAATTCCATATTTGTTAACACCAATGATAAACAGGAAATCTCTGATGCCTCGGAATTATTTGTCACGTCTGATGAAAACTTTTGAAGTTTTTATGTCTCCTGTCTCTGAGGTTAACTGGACAACTGATATTGCACTTTCTAGTACATGATGTAATCTTCTCTAACTTCATTAACAAAGTTCAAAACGGTCACAAATTCATTTGACATTCAGCATTTAATTTTCATGGTAGTTATGGTGATGAGACCCTGATATTACTCCATATCATCAGAATTGTGATTTAGAAAATTTTTGTCAAAAGTTCTTTGGGATTCAATCAAGATTAGGTCATGCCCAGCATTAGGCATGAAGGAAGCATACCAGGTGGCCCTGAATGACAGACTATTGTATATTCATTTTGAGACCATCCAAGTCAGGCTGGGTAAACAGTGTGCAATTTTGTATTCTTTGCATGACAACCATGGCATTACCTAGTTCCTCAGATGTGATTTTGTAACTTGGTGGAAGGAATTGGGTAGGACCAGAATTGTTAGTCTACTGTATGATATCAACACATGATGGAAGTGATTCTGTCATCAAGGGTGTTTTCATACAAGTTTAGCATTTTAGATTTTGGTGAAGGATTTAGGGTTAATTTGATGCTATTGAGGTCAATATAGGTCTTTTGAGCCATCAAAGGAATGTAAAGATTAAAATTGTTGATATGTTTTGTTGATGCCTCCAGTGACGTCTGTGTCTGTAATGAATGACTATCTGTATTATATCTGAAAGAGTTTTATATAGAGCATTATTAGTAGAGGTGAATGACACTAGTGTCTGAATCAAATATAAACAAAGATAGTAGACCACATCTAAATATGCCCACAACTGCATGCAGTTAGTAAAATAAGAAGCTTTCTCACTTGATTTCCAGTGTTTGGTCATATACCTCCATATGTCTATGTAGAGAGATGTGTATATAGAAAATGATGCGGGCATACAAACAGTCGTTGTTGCCGATTTTTGCTGCCGACTTTAATCTTCAGCCAGCTCTTCCACAACAAGGTTATCAATTCCCAACAGGATTTATAATATCAAACCAGCTTGATATTTGTCGCAGATTATTTATCGTCTGCATGACAGAGCGTCACCATCCAATCTGATTCATTTCTTTTCAATTTCATGATCTGCACGTGATTATCGACATATTAGATGTCTCCTCTTGTGCCTGCAGCCAGTCGGTGAAACTTCTGATATGACTCTAGTCGGCAACAAAAATCAGCGACCAAGAATATTCGTGTGCCACCACCATTAACAAGGAAGTTCCTACTCTCTTTATAATGTATTCTATAATTTAATTATAGTTAAAGTATTTCACAGATCCTGTAGTATCTGGTCTACAGTTATTAGATGCTGCTGTTGCTGCTGATAGGAAGGACCCTGTACAGAGAGCTGAGGCTTATGCAAATTTATCACAAGTTATTCCTATCATGCCACGAGTAAGTCAGAATATATGTAGATTATGTTTTAAATGGATATAGCAGTTTTCCAATTATTTGGAAACTATCTGATACTGCTACTACATTAGCTATGTATAAATTGTAGAATTTCAGAATGAAATAAAAAGATGGAGACTCATCCACAATTTAACTCATTATCATTCTGGTAATAGTGGTAGCTGAATTAAATTCTTTGAAGAGATAAAAATTTGATAAAAGTTAGCTCAATTCTGTCTGTTTCAATGTCATAATTGAATTCATAAATTTATAATATCAAAACTATCTTTACCATATACTTGATGATTCAAAAACTTAATTTGATTGTCCTTTGTTATTTACCAGTAGTCTATTAAGCAATCATGTTTCAAATTTTATTATTCATTTGTTAGGATAATTTTTTCATGTTCTATTTCTTGTCTATTTTTCAGAAAATTTTGTATCGCAATGTCTTCCCTACATTATGTCAGGACTGTAAGAGTGGAGAGTCCATGGTTTTTGCATTACCTGCAATGTTAACAATGATAGATTTTGCTCCTAGAGATGATTATATTGATATTATACTCCCTGAATTTCGTAATATAATGTCCTCTTCTAAACCGGTGCAGGTAAGATTAGAAAATGTTGCAAATGTTCTCTGATCCCTTTTACTACCACAACCCTAGTGTAGCCACAGAGACAGGGAGAGGCTGTTTCCTGTTTATGAACCTGTGGGCCCTTCGATCCTACCATAGATCTAGATATTGCATGTACCTTTGGATATTCCATAAAAGTTTAGGTAAATGATGTTATTATGTAATTATTCCCATTGCACATTGCATGGTGAAGTTGCTTCAGAAAGTAAGATATAAAACTTCATAAAAGTTCATTTGCAGGCATTTTTTACGCAAGGTTAGATTGCCTCTTACAAAGTCAATTGATTTTAGAAACATTGTTGTGATCTTTACAACTTCATCAAGATGGTCTTTAATAACCATAAAAGATCGTTAAACAAAAGGGATACTTTTCAATGGCAATAGAAAATTTCAAAAAATTAGATTTTATGTTTGGAACTAATCATCATGAAAATACAATTCTATTGTTAAGATGTACAGGTAACAACACTTCAAGCTGGCATATGGTGAATTGTTTCTTAAAATGAAATCATTGCATTGCAGGCTACAGTGTATATATTGAACAAATTAGATATTATTTTATCCAAAACACCATTAGAAGAGATCAAAAGTGAAGTTCTTCCTCTGGTTTTTAATACTTTAGATTCTCAATCTTTACAAGCTCAGGTGAATATTAATCTTTATAATAATTTTTACAATACAATCTCATTCAATGGTAGTACCTTGATTTATGATAACTTATCATGTTTTTCCCTCAAACTTCTTCAAATTGTTATTTGTAAAGTATTTGAAATCATTTTGTCCTGATTTTTTGACTCCAGTAGATTCCTATATATTCAGGAATAATTACTTACAAAGACTTCAAAAGATATTGTTGTTTTATAGGAAGCAGCATTGAGTGCATTCAGTGTTATCAAGGAATATTTAGATGATAATATTATTCGGAAAATGGTTTTACCAAGAGCAAAATCTTTATTTTATAGATCAACTAATGTCAGGGTAAGTACATGTATAAAATCTATATAGATTAAGTTATGTCAGGGAAAGTACATGTATACAATCTATATTTTATATTTCAACTAATGTCAGGGTAAGTACATGTATACAATCTATATAAATTAACTAATGTCAGGTTAAGTACATGTATTCAATCTATATTTTATAGTTCAACTAATGTCAGGGTAAGTACATGTATACAATCTATATAAATTAACTAATGTCAGGGTAAGTACATGTATACAATCTATATAGATTAACTAATGTCGGGGTAAGTACATATATTAAATCTATATTTTATAGTTCAACTAATGTCAGGGTAAGTACATGTATACAATCTATATAGATTAACTAATGTCAGGGTAAGTACATGTATACAATCTTTATAGATTAACTAATGTCAGGGTAAGTACATGTATAAATCTATATTTTATAGTTCAACTAATGTCAGGGTAAGTACATGTATAAAATCTTTATTTTATAGATCAACTAATGTCAGGGTAAGTACATGTATACAATCTATATAGATTAACTAATGTCAGGGTAAGTACATGTATAAAATCTATATAGATTAACTTATGTCAGGGTAAGTACATGTATAAAATCTTTATGATCAACTAATGCCTGGGCAAGTACATGTATAAAATCTTTATAGCTCAACTTATCTTATAGGATCTTTATAGATTAACGAAGGTCAGAATAAGAACAAGTAAGTTTTTTTTAGACTGTGAAAATGTAAAAAGAAATATCTATTCTGTATCTAAAGCACTATATTTATTATTGTATATTTAATGCACTTTCTGCACCTCTATTGTTAGTTAGGAGATATGAATTTTGTTTATTTTTATATATTTACAGTTAAGAATCAATGCATTAACATGTATAGATCATATGTTAGATAGTTTGGGCAAAATGTTAATATTAGATGAAGTGTTACCATTTTTAACAGATATAACATGTCAAGATGCAGATGTTGTAATGGCAGTTGTAGGTAAGACATTTTTCTTATCAGCTGAGGATGATAAGCATTACAGAAATCCATTTAACCTTTTGAATACTGAATCCTTATGTACCCTGAACTCCATGTATTATGACTTCAAATGTAAAATGTTATTAAATGTGACATCACATGATAATGGCTGCTTAGGTATATATCATGTAGTTATTTATCCTGTAGAGTCTCTGCTATTGATGAAAGGATAAGGATCAAAGTAAAAGTGAATGTATTTTCATATGTATCCCAGCCATTCGATATTTCTACACTGTCGTAAACCTTTTTCATCAGAGGCTAACTGCAGAGAGTAAAGGGAAGCAACCAGGAAATTTCTTTTTCAACAATGAATAATTATTTTTTCAGGTGTTTATAAACATATGCTAAGTGATAAGAAATTTGGATTAACACATAATCTTATAGCAACAAAAGTGATGCCATCACTAATCCCTCATACAGTTAATCCTGGATTATCCATGGAACAGGTAAATAACTTTGTCTGCATCTAATCTAATCTGAAAATAAATTTGTGCCAACATTACTCTGTTTGGCAGCAAATTATTTCAGCATGCATGTTCGTCTCTTGTCCACGAAGTTTGATAATGCTGAACATCTATTACAAATCTATTGATAATATGATTATTTAGATATTGCTGTGGTCAACACATCTTTTTCAATAGATATTTTGTTTATAGTTTGGTGATCTAATGGAAGTATTACGTGAAATGTTAGAGCAAATTGACCGGCAACGAAGAAATAAAATGAAACTAGAAACTGTTATACTTCCTGTTCCTCCAAGGTATGAGTATTCTATATTTGTGACATAATGTAAAAGACCAAATTGATGCCTTAGTTTTGATTGAGGATTAGCTCTCAGAATGGCCATTAGACTCTTTTTCACCTCATTGATTTTGTCAGTCTGAGGATTGTGTTTTTGGATTTGTCCTGGTGACACATATATACCTATCTGAATGTACATGTACAAAAATGTCAGTTGCAAAAGACTGTTTTCATCAACAAGCATATTTCGGACTTGTGCATATCTTGGAAACCATTGAATGTCATGGGTGGGTCTGAAATCAACATTTACCAAATATATATCTTAGAGAGTCAGCCTTCAATGACTTGCCAGTGACACATACCAAGTTGATTGAAAGAAAGACATCCATGCGAGAGGGGATGTTCTGTTAATGGAGTTAAAAGTTTGTAATTCTTTCAGGGGTTCGATCAAAATGAGCGGAGAAGAGGGGGGAGGGGGAGATAATGGAATAGTTAGTGTTCAAAGTTTATTAATGGTCAATGAAAGAAGTGGAAATACAACAGTATTTACTCGTGGAAAAACTGGTTGGTATACATGTAATGTATCACTCTTCTGCTTGTTAGTTTTCTTTCTTTCTCTTATTGCATGATTACTGCACATTATAAAATTCTGATGATTACACCATAACATTGGATCCCAATATTTGTTCATAGCAAAACAATACTGATGATTGTTACAAGTATTATGATACTGATGTTTGTTCCACTTTGTTTTATACTGGTGATAATTGCACACTGTCAAATACTGATGATTTCAGCACTGTATTACAACACTGATGATTATTGCATATTGTTAAATACTGGTGGTAACAGTACAGTATACAATACTCATAATTATTGCACATTCTTTAGGACTGATGCTTGTTGCACATTGTTAATTACTGGTGATTACAATACTGATGATTGTTGCACCTTGTTAAGTACTGATGACTACAGCAAGGTATTACAATACTGATGATTGTTGCACAATGTCAAATACTGATAATTGTTGCACACTGCTATATACTGATGATTGTTGCACATGGTTAAATTCTTATGATTACTGCATGGAATTGTAATACTGATGATTGTTGCACATTATTAAATTCTGATGATTACAGCATAATATTGGAATTTGATAATTGTTATAAATACTGCTGATTGTTGCACACTGAAACTGATGATTACCGCATAGTATAACAATAGTGATAATTTTTGCTCATTATTAAATTCTGATAATTAGAGCACAGAATAAGACCTTGATAATTGTTTCACATTATTAAATACTAGAATTTTCTGCACATTATAGTGATGAGTCAAAACTTTCAAATTTGAATTGTATCTTAAAGGGACAGATGCACCATTTTGGGTCTTGAGTATATGTAAATAGTCTTCAGAAGTATTAAAATTGTACAAAATTGTCAAAAAATCTCAAACTATGAATTTCTTTTCCTACTTTTATAGATGTCTTTTGACTTTTCATCGTAGATATTTCTAGACACACATGGATTTCAAGGCTCAAATTTCGATAGTGAGTTATGAACACCATTTCCGAAAATTCCTGTTTCTGAGACTGAGGTACGATTGGTAAAAAAAAAAGTGGTGCATCTGTCCCTTTAATAAGAACATGTAACTGAAAGCTTTTCCAGCTCTTGTTGTTTAAGATTGCCGTATCTCTGATAATGACTTTGTAATAAAAGTACATTCGAAAGGTTTTCCATGCTCTGTGCTTTTAGAATTCTTCTTTTTCAATTAGAGACACTTTTGCACTGTTTGTCAGTTTGTATGTAGTGAAAAATCTTATTATTTTGTAAGATCTCTTGTAATTTATTATTAACTTTTAACACTTTTCTGTGTAGACTTGTAGGCTTTCTAGAATGTTTTAGTTCATAGAATCTCTGTAAAGATGATTATAGTTGTCTCTTGCTGTGACTCATTTCAAATATACTTCTTAATGTTTTATTTATAAATTATTTAGAATTAATGGGATAGATTCATCTGAATATTGGCTGTAAAGTTTTACTATCCATATCACAATAAATTATGTGGTTTGTATGCAATTGATTAAAAATAATGAGCATATTTTCATACTGAAAAGTGATACAGATAACAACTGAACTCTATTTTATTAAACGATATTTTGTTTAAATTTTTTATAATTAACTGCCACTTTTTCAATAATACAATATTGTTTATATTCTATATATTTGAATATATATGATGTATTTTAGCTCCAAGCACTCCCGAATTACAACAGCGTCCCAAAATTGCCAGTCCAAAAACAAATCGTAAAAATCACAGTTTACAATCCCTCGGTATGAGCTTGGTAGGTATTGTAGTAACTTTATTAAAGAAATTTTACTTTGGAGATTTGAAAATAAAAATCACATTAGTATTAGGGGATGAAAGCTGTCATCAGAGACATCAGAAATTTTCCTTACCTTGAGGATTCAAACCCACAGCACCTAATCACCTAGCATACAGCCATTCAATTCACTACTAACTGAGATATTCCACATTAGTCTTAGGATTTGTATATATATGTAATATACATTTGTGAACTCTCTCAATGAAAAAGAATGAATGTGTCATTTAAATAACAACAGATTCTGAACAACACTCATAGTTTATAAGTAAGCTTCTAAAACCATTTTGTTTTGGCTCTATTTGTAAATATGTTTGTTTTATGTATGTAAATATATTACTGTGTTTATAATGAATGAAATTTGAAGAAAACTTTTTATTTTGATCTTTCTGCAGGATGAGAAAAGTACATTGGACAAACCAATGGAAACAACAAGACGACACAGTTTAATCCCACCCAATCATCCATCTATTAGTGTAACTAGTGACGATGGTAATGATCGTCCTAGACGTCCCAGTACTCACAGTCTTGGCCCTTTTAGTGTAAGTGGATTCGGCGATTTACTACGTGATAGGTCAAGAAGACCAAGTACTCATAGTGTAGGATTTTTGCCGATAAGTATGTTTGGGGAGAGTCCAGAAAGACCTAGGAGACCAAGCACACACTCTCTTGGAGTTTTCCCATTCAACTGTTTTACTGAAGATAGAGATAAATACCATGAAAGAGGGAGCCGCCGACCCAGTACCCATAGTCTTGGACCCCTTGTTGTACCAGTAAGTCACAGGCGGACTAAACGCCTGGTCACACACACACACCCCACCATGCATCTAAATTACGTCGTGACTAACCAAACCAAATGTTTATCCCCCCTTGTATACTGCAATTTAGCTTCACTTACACTTTTCTATTTCAACAAGCATGACGTCTGATATGATTAGAAAAGTTCAGTTCAATTTATTTACCTGTGATCTCACAGTCAGTCAGTACTCACAATAATTTACAATTCAAATAATTTATCTTCTTATAATTTGGAATGAAGATAATTTCTTGCACATTTAAATATGATTTATTAGTTTTTATAATATGTTTCATATTTTTATTTAACTGTATTTCACATTATTTAGGATTTTTTTTGTTTATTTAATACCATATTTATTCAAATGTTTGCTCCTTTGCACAATGTGCACTTTAATCTACAGTTTATGTTAGGGTGACAAATGACATTCAGGTAATGCTGGTTTGCTTTTCTAGGCAGAATGGCCATCAAATGAGGAAACCCTGCCGTTACTTACCTTGCCCGTACCCACCATCCTAACCCAAGTAGATAAATAACTAAGTATCTGTGGCATGACAATCACTGCCCATCATATTGTTTTAAGATTAGATTCCTGCAAGTCTGTTTATTAAACCTGCAAGAATATTTTTTCCTTCTCCCCTTCACCCCACTGTTTGGAATGTTCTATTTGACCTGGATGACTACTGTAGGAAGTAGGACTGTTTTTTTTTTCCTGTTATGCTAATATGTGATTGCTGTCTTCAACTTTATTTAGACATTATTTGTTTGGACACTACTTTCTTGAATTAAGTTAAAAGTTCTTTCTGTGTAATGGGTTATTTGTGAGTGGGGAGTATGTATCTAGAAAGTGGGAATTGAGACCACTAATTTCCTTTATTCAAATTTAGTTGAAATTCTTGCACCTATTTTGATTGCAACTTCTTGAAATTTCATTACTAACCTCTGTAAAATGTTGTTTGAGATATTTGTCATTCTCTGCTATATTTGAGCTCTACTAAAACTGTCTTTCCTTATCTTTGCTAATGAGTATCATAACTTTGTATTTAGCTGAAATTGCGTACTGTTGTACGTATGTCTAAAGTTGCTCTGCTGTGCCTGCTAACTAAGCTCTTCTGTCAGTCTTTTTTGGCATGCTTTCAAATTCTTTACTAATCTTTTTCAAACTTTTTATTCTAAATCTTTTCTTTCTAAACATTTATTGAAGATTATCTTCTAAAGATCGGATGAGAATTTAAGATAGATTTATATTGGTATGATAACTAGGAACATGATAAAGTTTTATGCATTTTGGAAATAGTTTTACTGTTATTTAGCAGTTTTGTTATTTAGCTATAATAGTTAGGACAATTACACTGTAGGATAGACCAGGTTCTTGATATACTTCTCTCTTAGTATTTATTGGCTTTCAGCTTAGCAAATTATGCATGTTTGAATGAAAAGTCATGCAACTGAAGAATCATCTAAAGCATTTGTTATATTTTGTAATTGTAGGACTTTTCTGATAGACGTGGAAGTAGAGGGAGTATATTTGGAAGTTTAGGTATTGGTGATCATGCTCCCTCCAGTCAGAACCAAAGAAGGCCTAGTTTTCAAATGCTAGGTGATACAGTGGTAAGTAAATTAAATGCTTTAAAATTTTGTGCTGATGTGGAGTGGGCTCGGCCCATCGAATACCAGCATGACTTCTAAGAGATGAGAGCCCTCCCCATGAAAATTAGGTGCCTAGATAACTTATTTCTAAAGATTTGGGGTGCTTAATATCTTATCAAAACTTTCATCTTTTTGGTTTTATAAGACTGCATATTAATCAATCTCTCTGAATTGAAGGCTTGCTGGAGCCCAGCAACGTAAAATTTTGATTAGTATATTCTAATTAATATATAACTTATATTTATGATTTCAGATGAATTTATTTGGAAGTAAATGATGATGAAAAACATTTAGTTTATCCTAGAGAGATTTCAATATCCTATTTTTCTACCTTATGTATTACCTACTAATGTTTTATTTGCTCAATTTTTTTACCTGGTCCTCTTAGTCTCTCATCTCAAAATATTTCCACTTTTTCATAGCAATGTTTGACAAAACATATATAGGTTAAGTCAGGCAAAGATAATTTGACTCATCAGAGTCTGATTCAAAACACAAACATTGTCAAGTCTGCTTAAATAGCTTCTATTATTAATAGTACCCCAAAATAAATTAGAATGCTGGTGTGTATTTGTTGAATATGATGAGCAGAAATATTTTTTGCTTGAATATCCTTTGATTATGTAACATTAGAGTTATTTGTACAGCTGGAGTTCTGTTTTCCCACAAGGAAATACTGTAAATCTCTTTAATCTGGGAATTTTAGTCTTTCTTTTGTAAAAAATAAAGCAAATTTTGCCTTCAATTGCCGAAATAAGACAGTTGAACAGTAGCAATAAAGGAACTTATTCTGAAATGTATTGTGTAACTGGTTTATAACCTACCTTTGTATACTAAACTTCATCTCAAATTCTTTCATATAACTATGGTGCTCTTCAAATTGAATTCAATTAATTACTACATAATGCTCTTAGAATAAAGATCCTTTAATTTACCACAACTAAAAAAAATAACACTTATGATGTGAACCTGATTCTTTGGTATGTAACCTATAGTAAATTAAGAATCCATTTCATGTAAAATTCCTTGCCAGTTTCCCAGTAGAAAAATTAAGGTTTGTGTATTGCAATATATGTGATTGTACATATATTTATAAATAATTATTGTTTATTTTTATGTTATGTATATTATTATCAAGTAATATTACTTGAATAGAATAAATAGTTCAACAAAAGATATATTTTTAAAGTTAAACCTTTTTATTGATTCTAAATTCTTAATCGCAGATTTCTGTATTCTGTAGAGCAATCAAGTTAGACTTAACAATATGTGCAATAAAAGCTTTAATTTTGAGATATGTATATTGATTATTTGTTTATGTTTATAAATTATAGAGCATGTTTATTAGTATTTTTGTAAAAAAAATAGTTTTTGTTATTTAGACATTGTAATGGATTTAAGTTATTAGTATACACATTTTTCAAAAATGTTGTTCCGTTATCATTGCTTGCATGATTGCTTATGAATGACAGGTTTGATATGAATCTAGAAATTGAAATAGAAAAAAATAAGAGAGATGGCCCCTTAAATTATTTCATGGACATTTTTAACTTATGATTCCTGTACGACTTTTCTAGTGCTTTATGGGGCATATTGTTGCATGCTTGTAAAATTAGGGTTCTTAAGAAAAATAAAAAAAATTATAAATTTAAATATAAATGTAATCAAAATCTGGCCTTTCTTGTGAGAATAATTGAAAATAATTATTTATTTAGCTTTTCTTGCCCTAGGACATCAAGGCTTTATTTCTATGATATATTCAGATATATTCATATTAAAAGATTTTGTCTGAGAAAGAGTTTGGTTGTGAAAATGTGATATTTATTTCTATTAATTGTTATTTGTTAATAAATTATGTTGTTAAATAAATTAAGGTTAAAATCTACAATAAAAGCAATATGAAAACTATGGAGATATTTTCATGTTTTTTGATATTTGATAGATTATATCAATGCACTGTTTTAGATTCTGTTAAGTTGGTTCATTTTTATTATAAATGGTCTTAATACCACAAGAATTGTACCTTATTTATTGATGTTGGTAGAAAAGATTTCAAAATCAACGCCAACGCAGCATCAAATTCAAAGTTCACATTTATTCCTTTCAATAAAAAAAGATTTATTACACATTCGTAAGTTTTAAAGCAATTGTTTATAGTTAGAGAAATGTTTATGGGGTATATATTAATGTTATGAAATTAAATGTTATTAGAAAACAAATCTCTTAGATCGTCAAAAGTAAACACACCCTCAAATAAATAAATAAAAATGAGACCCTATTGCTCACCTATCCAAAGCCTTTGTACATTATGATAAACGTAAATACCCCTTTGTATTGTTATTGTTGTTATTATGAATTGTTTTGTATGAATTATCCTTGAATGGAAAAATATCATTCCTTGTCAAATGTTTTTAGAATCCATTTGTAATAAACAAAGGCTTTTCCTCGAAATATTTTTTTTTATATAGCCCCATATATCGTTATGCTAATGTTCAAGTACATTACAAAAAGGAAGTTAGATATAAACATAGCTCTAATGCGTCAGAATCGATCACAGTTACAAAACTTCTTGATAAAGGTAAAAAGAAGCGGCGACACAACACCCGTGAATATGCCTCAGCAGCGCGGTAAAGACTGTAGGTAGAGAGTTATTTTGTTGAGCTCTTAACTAAGATTTAATAGTCATTATTCCATATAAATGTATCAATAAGGAAAATCCTTTGAATATATTTTGTTTTATTACGGACAAAATTAATACACAGGGGTTTGCTTACTGAAAAAGGAAATGTATGATCTATGAAGTTTGTAAGAACATTTTCATGACGTGTGATTTTCTTCATTCAAAATGTAACTTGAGATAGTTTTCCTACATAAGACTTGAAAACGGCTTATTACACGAGTATTTGGCATTAGTAGTTTTCAGGACAAATTTCACTTGTTTATCATCTCGAACCAGTGACTATCACTTTATTCAGATGTTCACAGTAACCTGATTCTGGGGGCTTCTTATTATAGCGCTCTATCACTGATCCATTCCTTTCGACCAAAAAATTAATACTCAAGTATTTTTGAGTACACCTCTTTTCGTTGCCTTCTTTGGATCTACACCTAAATTGTTTTTCGACATCGTTTTGGTTTTTTTCATTGATGGCAGGTTTCCTGGCTTTGGCTTTCGACTCGAAATCCGATTCGAAATTTTAGAATCGGTTACGCGGGCATTTTGTAAAATATTCTGTTTGAAAACCGAATCAGAATTCTTCCGGTTTGGTATAGGTGGTAATTTACGAACCGAAGCTCTCTGTGAAGGTAAATCGTTTTGTTCCAGTAATGTCATTGACTCTTTTTTCGTTTTAATCATTGTTTTCAACATTGAATTCCGTTCATCTTCGATACATTCAATTTCGGATCCATTGTTAGATTGTTTTTTAGAATGTTTGAAAGCATTTATTACTCGCAAGACATTGAATGCCTTTCTGATAGTCTTTGGTTCCGCTTTTGTGGTCTCTATTTCTGGAACAGGTTGTGTACTTGATTTAGTTTGTGAAAAGTCTTCAGAGCAGATACTTTGACTCTCCTCGCTTATTTCTGTACGGGTTACTGACAATGGCCGACTAATTAAAATCTTGTCAGAATTTCTATTTCCTTTTACTCCTGATTTAATTGAGGTTTTTGGTTTGCTTAGTTTCTTTGAAGATTGCATACCCTTCGCCTGTACTGAACCGTTTGTCTTTGAAGATCTTGAAGCTAACGAGCGGGATGAAACTGCCGATCGACTTGCAGCTAGTCCTAAACAGGATATTGAATCTGATCCAGCACCATAAAGGGTAATGTTAAGGTTTCTCCTTAGTTTTAAAAAATATTCTTTATCAACCTGTTCTTGACGTTCCACTTTGATTTTATGTTGGAGTAATACATCATTTAAAATTACGTCACACATCTGACGAACCTTGCAGAATTCCATCGATTCCTTGTCTAACTGTCTTTCAAGCATTCCCATGGAACCTGGAAAGGATTTATATTTTTAGTTGACATCAATAACCAATATGTTCCAAGTAATTTTAATTTATGATGGAAAAAACTTACTATTTAAAGAGATCTTCTCCCTTTTCATTTCTCGAATTTTTGTTCTAAGTTCTGGAATGGTTGAACCATGAGTATCAAAGATCTTTAGAGCGTGTTGCTTATCTTCCTTGGCAATTTTTCTCATAGATTTTAGCTTATCTATCTCTGTTTGGAGCAGCTGATTGTACTGCTGTTGGTAATAAAATCTGAAAAAAAATATCAAGTCACTTTTACACATTTGAGAGCCTTCGGAATATTAAGCTTCTGAATGTGGATTTTGTCGATTTACTTATAAGCATTGGTGCCTTTTCTTTAGCATTATTAAATGATTGCACTGACTTTAGACAGATCTACCTAGATAAGAATAATGTAACACTAACAGACATTCATTTATGTTTTCAATCTATCGAATTATCACAATAGTGAAGTGATTCGAACAATCCTGTATTATGTAATCTGTGTTACACCAGAATATTATATCTAAATTGAAATTCTGAATGGATATTAAGGAAAAATTCACATTGAAACCTAATTTATCACCTTAATCGATATTCATTTTCCGATCTATTTGATCCGGCATGAGATCCGTCGATTTCGTCCACAATTCTTTTCCATTTTATGATTGATTTCAAGATAGTGCGTTTTAATGCATTTTCTCTGTCGACCTGTGTCTTGATCCCTTCTTCAGTATCACCACTTTCTTCGGCAAATATTGTACTCCAAGTCATAATTTCGGTTTTATGCATTTTAGGCTCAGGGTAACTACTACCAAGGCCAATCTACAGAGAACTAATAAAATATTGTAGTTCCTGCGTTAGAGAACAATCAGTGTCCGTCACAACGCCAATGCCGTGCGTCACAATGAATTTGTCTGATGGCCTATTTCAGATAATCACATAGTAAGCCTACTCTATTTCATTAACTACATTTTTGCTAAACACAATATTTTGAAATGATAAATATGCGCTGTAGCCTAGGCCTACCTCTTGTTAGACGTCAAAATTATCGCTTGCATCACTGATAAGACAAAAGATTAAAAATGTCCAAAATGTTAACCTTGCCATGAATAAAGAAATAACTCGCCATCTTTTAAACGAGTCCCAGTTCCCCCCTGCTTTAATGAAATCTATCATTGCCATAGTCAAAGGCTACTATAGTACAGTCATAGATTTAGTTTCAGAGCCTATTGTTTTAGGCAGGTGGCTTTCGCGCTGAAGATTTTAATGGAGGGAATAGAGCAATACAGGACAGCACGATTCCATTAATCGGAAATATGTCAATAAACTCGACGAGACAAACAGACTTTATCTAACTGGGGCTACTGGGCTGAACTTAGCATACACATTCAACTAGCATTACAGATTCGGGTCGAATCGTCTCAGCATACACATTCGCGGCAAATCGACCCGATATGAAATCTGAATTATTTCTAACTTAAATATTGTTAAAATAACTGTAAAAATTGTATTTCAATTTCGCAAACACCTATATGTCTAACTCTCTTACTCTCTTAGTCTTTGTACTGTGGCCCATTTAAAATATAATCTTTTTTTATGGTTCAGCTGAAAATTACCAAAGTTAAACAGCAAATTTTAAGGCTTAGCCGTCATCATAGGAACTTTTTGAAATTCATACCGTACTATCTCACACCAAATTGCTGTCTCTATTACTTCTTGTACGGAGGCCCATTGAAGACATACACTAATCGACATAATATATAGGGCCTATAAGACTATATTACTCCGAGTTTACGAGCAATTTGCGAGGCTTAGCCGTCAAAGAAACTTTTTTAAATTCATACCATACTATCTCACACTAGTCCTCATTCGAAATATCAATCATCGAGTTGCTGTCTCCCTTACTTTTTGTACTCCTCGCAAATTGCCCGTAAACGCTGAGTGATATACTTTATACTTACAAAAAGTAAGGGAGACAGCAATTTGGTGATTTGATATTTCGAATAATGACAAGTGTGAGATAGTATGGTATGAATTTCAAAAAGTAAAAGTTCCTATATATGACGGCTAAGCCTTTTAATTTGCTGTTTAACTTTAGTAAGTTTCAGCTTCCATAAAAAAAAATTATGTCTTAAATGGGCCACAGTACAAAGACTAAGAGAGTTAGACATATAGGTGTTTGCGAAATTGAAAGAATTCTTATGTGTATTTGTCATAAAAAAAATGTGAAGTTATTTTAACAATATTTAAAGAAATAATTCAGATATGATATCGGGTCGATTTGCCGCGAATGTGTATGCTGAGACGATTCGACCCGAATCTGTATGCTAGTTGAATGTGTAAACCATTAGAGTTATATAATATAACTCTATAGTGTAAACTAAGTTCAGCCCGGAAGGAATTAATTTGTTCTGTTCAAATTGATTTACCTCGCTTACTTTATGGAGAATTTATTGTTGTCTGAATATCACAAAGAGTTCTTCAATTTAGGAGGAGGTGTAGGTACATAATAATATTCATTTTTTTTTTACTTATCCTCATACTCGAAGGAAAGATTCACTTATGTCATGGAAAGTAAGAACTGTATAGTGGATTATTTAAAAAATATTGAATTCCACCATAAGAAGATTAGTGTCTGCTTTCCTGTCAGTAGAAAAGAGGTATGTAGTTCATCAACGCCAACGGTGGTGTGTCAACTATGCCACGTTTCGACCCCATCACATCAGATAGAAGAGGGTTTTTTTGAATAAACAGTAAAGACAGGTAGTACCGTACAGTGGTGTAACCTATTTTCGTGGATATAAGGTTTCAACACTGAATTTCGTCAAAGTTAAAAAAACGAAAAAAATTTTTTATGTCTTAGATGTTTCCTCAGATATTTTACAAAATAATTAAAATTGGTTTATTTCGATTTTCTTAATGAATCCTTCACTTTGACCCATATTTCATGAACAACCAATTCGGGAACGGCGGCAGAATGCATCACCTATTTTCGTGTACAATGTTTGATCTATAAATAAGTCTAGAAAAACAAATTGTATGGACACCGGGTGGTATAATTAACTTCTCTTAGTATTTATCTTTAATATCAATTCATCATAACTAGTGACAATTCCTTCAAAGAACCACGATTTAAAAAAAAATAGTGACTGACAAAATAAGATACGTAGCGTGATTTATTGCTAAAAGTCACTGAAACAACATAAGAATTTGGTCCACTTTGTGTTCCATAGAAATTTTCTGCTGACACGGAATCCTCTAGTTGATCACGTGACTTCATTCGTTGGATTATATTCTAGCAGACGACATTATAATTAAATTCGGCCGATAAAAGATTGTGACGTTTGGTAATAAGTGAAATCCGCCATTTTGTATTTGTCAAAGTATACATTAATACATTTTACCTTGCTTGAAATTACTGGATTCATTCTACTAGCTGATATTGTACACAAAACCCATGTTTATCAAAACAAACTAATGCGGAGATCGCGCAAGGTCGCTCACGTAAATTATTAATCATTTCCGAAAATCCACGAATAATAGGTTTACACGAAATTAGGTTACTTGACTGTATATTACCTAATTTCATCAAAAAAAAACCAAAAAAAAAACCAAAAAAATAACCCGGACAAATTCCTAAATAATTCTTATTCAAAATATAATTACAGTTGTTTTTTACGTTTTGCTTATGGTCTTCGACCCACATTTCATGAGTAAACAACACAACTCCAACGACTGCAAAATAGCAGGTGTTCTAATTGAGTGGAGAGTGTTCAATCTAAAAATAGGTAGGGGAAACCACAGGTACTTGTGGACAATATTGCTATTGGTGAAGCATTTGAGATTTTGTTGGTGGACTGATAAGTACTGGTATTATAAAATGTTAAGGTAAGTCACTCTGAGTTTGTTTACATGTCAAGTTGAGGTATCATGTGGTTACTGATTATCATCATCAATTTTTTTTTTATTAAAAATGACATTCACATTATATGTATGTACAGTATAGTTTGTACAATTCTGTAACTATAAGTTATGCAAAAGCGTTGATCACATGATTCAGGTCAAGGTCAAGGTGCGCGCATAGTACATGTCATTTCTACGTTTCAAAATGTCGAAAAAAACTATGAATCAGGAAAGAAAACAATGAAGAACCGGATTAAATGAGCTAAATGAATAATTATTTCCCAATAAGTGAAATTATTATCGGTAGAGAAAAGAAATAAGTCATCAGATGTACAAAATCTCAAATGCTTCACTGCTATCCTGTCCACAAGTACCCGAGGGAGAAACATGCTCGTTGGAAGCCAAGTGATGAGTATAACATAACAATTTTAGTAATTTTTTTTCTTTTAAATCAATTCATTTTAAAGGTAGGTCTATACTTACTTCGTAGGATGACCAAAAAATTGAAACTTTTAAACTTGGCCCTAATGAGTATTTGTTCATCAGTGGAGTTACCTTTTTGACATGCTTTCAATACTGTAGTTGCTTAGTTTAATGGATATAATATTGTCTTATTATAAGCTTATAGAGATTCTAATCTTGAGTCAAGGGCCATGGCACACAAGTCCATTCAATGACCAAGTTGAGACTTTAGATTTATGTCATTTCTAAGTATTTTGTGACCGAAGAAAGAGAAGTTAAAGTCAAATCTTCCAGTCTGCGTATGTATTACCTTGTCTGGCAAGCTATCTTTTCCAAGTTCTTGGCAAGTGGGTATTACATTAAGAAACAAAATGTGAACATGAATTTCATGAAGATGACATTTGTTATAATTTTTTTGGTTGACAGAAATTAGAAGACATTATTTCAAGTGGTAAAGTTGATAAAGCTTGGTTTATACCGGGTCATATTTTTGTATTGTATAATGATAAACAACAACTGTCAACGTTTGATTGTAAACCAGCTCACCTACAGGTTTGTAGTCTAATATATAATTATGTAACAATGCATGATAGAAATGTCTGTGTCTGAATGCTATGAATGTAGGATGATGTAAATGTAGTGTGGTGGAGTCAATATGTTAAAGGGGTGGTTCATCATTTTCGGGGGTTAATTGGTGTCTTGAAATACGTATTTAGTCTTCAGAAGTGCTAGAAATTCACAAATATTGCATAACTCCTTTCAAAATATCTCAAAGTAAGAATTTCGCTTTCTATATAAGAAAAGACTACTTCCATCATTTTAACATTCTAATGCAGATAATTCTGTAAAAACATGGATTTGATGCTAAAATTTCAACAGTGAGCTGTAATAATTGTTACTGATTACATTAGCTTAAAAATTTCTGTTTCTGAGACAAAAGTATGATTGGTCAAACAGATGGCAAACCTGTCCCTTTAATAGTAAATTGTATTCATATTAGTCAGACACTGATATGTTCCATGATCACACGGTGAGTAAAGTTCTTCCAAATCATGTCTTATGACCACTATAGGAAATAGTTATAACCTTGGTGTAACCAACACACAAAAAGTTGGAAACTAAGGTGTGACCCATGGATAGAGAGAAAGATGATAAGAAATAAGGATGAATGAGTGAAGAAAGGAAGGGTAGACTCAGTTGATATTTAAGATTTAAAATTGAAGTGAGTATGTGATTACAGTGATTTCACAATTTAATTTTTTTTTTTTATTTCTACAGCAATATGAAGATACAGTATTTTTAGACTTTGTGGATATTACCAGTCCTATTGTTGATATAGTTACTGCTGATATTTATCATAATGTTATATTTATAGTAAGTTAATATCTTATTGCTTCTAATGAACAGCCAAAGTAAGGTGTCTTCATGTGTGCAATGAAAAAAATTTTGAAAAAATTACCGTTTCAAACAATAAAAATGCATTTCAAACTTGTCTTTCACTAGATCCTCACTACACATCAAGTGAACCTCCAAGCATTTTGAGGTGTAGAATATAAATTTTCTGGTCACTTCCTAATTTCCTATATCTGGAGCTGCGGTGGTTCAGTGAGTTAGACACTTGCTCACTAAACAGAAGGTCCAGGGTTGAATCCCTGCATAGGTCGAAAAAAAACCTTCAATTTTTCAACCCATTTTCCCCTTGTCAGTGATGCAGGTAAGAAGGACAGACATGGAAAAAGTGTCTAGTCGTTCGGAGGGGACAATAAACCGAGGCCCCATGTGCTACAGGCTGTGCAAGATAATTTTCCCTTGAAAGTTGGAAATCGAAAAAGAGCAGGCTGCTGCTGTCCTGGCAAAATTTCCCTCATTACACCTTGCATAGTGCAGAAAAGGAGGACTTAAAAATCCATTCATTTTACTTTCTATATCTGTTTCACTCTTTAAGAGCAATTATCTTCAAAGGGCAGAAATTAATTTATGTTAGATAACTTCAGGTTTTACCAATATTTGTTAACTTTTTTGAGTGTTGTTTATATGTTAAACTTTGATTAAAATATCCTTTCCTTTCATATTTAGATTTTTAAAAATGGAACTGTACAATTATGGCAATATACAGATTCACAGACATGGACATCAATAATAGAACTGAATATATTACATACAGACCACAGTGAAATTATTAGTTTCTGTGTACATGATGATCATAGTGCCATTTATTGGTGTGAGAAACATAATACAACAGTCTCTATTTGTAAGAGGACCTTGCCCTCTGGTAAATATTTTGTAATTCTTATGAAGTAGGTCTTGTTTTGCTACATAGAGTGTCCTTATTTGACAATTGCTGGTAGTATAAAATTGTGTATAGGATCACATTCCAGCTGGTTCTTGAAAGACCTCTTAGCAGTGATGAATTACTGATTTAATTATTTCTTAACATAACCATGCTAAGAGTTTCAAAAATTCTGATTTACCTTCAGTTTGTGACAAATTTTATATATTTTCTATGTATAGATTTGGAAGAGAAGTCAATAGGAAAAGCAGAAGTAATTTTATCTAATTGTCCAGTATCTGATATTTTTAATATCAAAGATTTTCTGGCTATAGTTATCAGGTTAGATATATTATATAATGTTCTGAAAATAGTTTGACTCTATTTCATTTCCTGTCAATACTTAAAATTAAAAGTTTAGGTTGGTTTTCAGTTGAAGCTTTCTTTCATCCTGGGCTCTCCAGTATTTTCATTACTTTGTTTAGAAGATCATTTAAGCAACTGTGATCTTCATCTATTATAAGAATGACAGTCATGTTTCTTGAGCATAAGAGTGTTTGTCATTACAGTATGCCATAAAACTCTGAGCTGTTTGACGGCTGCTCAATTACATCTCACCAAATATTTGACAACAAAAGTTGAAATTTTGGGCTGTTTGATTCAAAGTAAACTGAACCACTGTTTCAGCGAATTTCTTCTCCGGTTATGTATATATTTGTATAATGTTGTACATTTAGACAGGACGTTAATCAAGTACCTATAAAGATTATATGGAGACCCAGTTCAGATCATCTGATATTATTTATAGACGGTACCAAACACAAGATTGACAGCTGCTGGACCAATCAAACTATAGATTTTAAGAAAATATTGCTAAGGTGTATTCCTGTTATATTGCAGGTAATGATTTAACATGAGTTGCTTTAAATCAAATGGCATATGGTATTATGCAGGCAAAAAGTATTCAGAAGCAAGACTGCAGGGCTTTCCTTGGTTAAAATATTTATTTTAAAAAAAAGATTATACGAAGCATATAAGCTGTAAAATGTCAGTATAATTTCCACAAGTTTTGACTGAGAAAATTCAATGCAAACACGATTGTAATGGAGAGCTAAAAAACTTGGTTTATGTGTTATTTCAGTGGAAATTACCATTTACAAAAAACATCACTATTCAGGACTCTATAACTAAAGAACTATTATCAATAGGGAATGATGGGAAATCACAAATTGTAAATGTTGACCTAGGTAGGTGAGACATAAATTCTATTTTGTACTTTCTAACTTACAAAATATCTTGTCACAACAGGATTAACATATCTAAATTTGGTGGACATTAGGAAATTTTCTTAAAATAGTTTGCAACTGTCTTGAGTCATCTTGAAAGTCAACAATAGAATTTGAGATAAACATATCACAATGTAAAATATCAATTCAACATTTACCCTGTCAAAAATACTTTGACGTTCCATCAAACGATCAGTAAATGTGCACTGCACAAGGCTTTTTGACAATTAAAATTAAAACAAACTTATTAAGAGTTTAATTTTTTTTCTCATTAGATTTATCTGTTTATATATTTAAAGGTGAAATAGGAAGAGTAAGCATGACACCATTAGATTTACCAAATGATATCAATGTAAATGAAGCAAACTGTTTTCTATCAAATGGTTTTTTAGGAGTATGTGGTAAATTTTCCGTCAAGTATGTTTGTTTTTCAAGACATATGAAAAAAAACTTTATATTTGTAGCCTTATGTTTGTATGGAATATGCAGATTTCATTTTAAATATCATATATGTGGGCCTATATTCAATGAAGTGCTTTGTAAAGTGCAATTTTTATTACAAAATTTCCTTTTATCATCATAATTATTTTGTAATATTGAAAAGATTATTTATAAATTTTATATTGCAATACCATTTCATTCAAAACTGTTAGTCCCGAAACTTGTCATCCAGAAAACTCTAAAGTGAACTTGACAGGTTGTTCTCTTTCTTTCAGGATATACAGTTTACATACTGGAAAGTTATTACAAAATATGAGATTTTTAGAACATTCTGTTATTATTGGTCCAGTAAAATGTAGTAATCAAGTTTATACAGGAGCAATACTTACTCAGTCAGATTTCTTCATTATACAGGTATTTTTAAGAATTGTCTCAAGTGTATTTTTTAAAGAAATTCTCTGTATTCTGTGAATATCATCTCTGAATCAAAATGTGGCTCAAATGAAATTGCAGTATGTATGGAAATATTTTGAATTTGGCTGATGCTGTACAAGGTACAAGTGGCCCGTGATGGGCTTTAAGTAGTTCTTTTCTTTCTTGTTGATTTATATGTGAAAAAAAATAAGTACTAGATAGTGCCTTGATACCATATTTCTAGTTTTGTCTTATTTTCATTTTATTTTTAGAAAACGACACATGTTGATCAGCTAGTTAGTGAATTATCAGATAATGTTACATTTCAAACTGATGCTTTAGAATATGCTAAATACTCTCAGGTAGGCTATAAATACTCTCAGGTAGGCTATAAATACTCTCAGGTAGGCTATAAATACTCTCAGGTAGGCTATAAATACTCTCGGTAGGCTATAATTTGACAAATATTAGTGATATTTAGTAATGATAATCTTAAGGAAACATCCGTTTGACAAATTGTACCTTGGTCCCAGAAAAGGAAATATTTAAGCTAGGCCAATCAGTAATAATGTCTTGAACTTACTGCCTAAATTTTAGTTTTCAAATGCATGTTTGTCCAGAATCATTCACATTAGAAATAAAAAAAAAATACTCATCTTTTCTTGAGACTAGAAAAGACATATATAGAAATAGAAAGAGAAATTCCAAGGTTGAGCTAATTTTAAAGGAATTGTGTTTCTAGTACTTTTGAAGATTATTTATATATTCAAGGTCCAAATCAATCCCTGCAAATGTTGCCACTGTCCATTTAAGTGATGAATAAGGTTCATATATGGTTAGATAGTTCAATATGATTTTTGTGTGAAAGAAATAATTAGTTTCCTTCTGTTTAATTAGATAAGAGAAGAAGATGAAGAGATTAGGAAGAAATTAGAAAATTTGAAAATCAAATGGTACAAAGAAAAAGATGAAACACCAAAATCACAACTAATCCAAACAATAGGTATGACTTTATCTTTCAATAGAATTACTATTTCCCTTTGAATACACCTCAAGTTATGTAAAGACAAAATCAAAATTTTTCTAATCTTGGGCAGGATTCATACCAAAATACCTAGCAGACGACAATCCAACTGGCTACAGACTGAGCTATTCCACAAGGTAGTTGACTAGGAAGTGAAGGGAGGGGAAAGGTGATATAAAAGCACTATTTATTCTCTATCTGTTGTTTAGGACCATTTATTGAAGAATTCTGGAGACTCGAAGAGTTGACTGGTAGTAAAATGGCAAAAACTGTAAGTTACAGTATAATATACTAACTCTTGATTTTCATTACTATTTGATGATGGACGAGTCAATTCATCACTCCATTACCATTACCTAAATAGTAATAGGTATGGAATGTGCCAGAGATAGAAAATAAAGCAAAGGTACACATTTTAGATAACTCTCATTAAATTAATATTACTATTGTTGAAAAGTAATCTGCTTCTTTTTCAATCACACTAACATCTAAACATTACTAGTATGATAATTGATTTGATATTTGTTATAATTTATGGTTTGTGACCATAATATAAATATTTCAAAATATACACATACTCAAACTCATACACAATCAAATCATTAATATCATTAATATCAATTATTGAAGTTAAGATTTACAACATATTTATACATTTACAGCAAATAAAGGATATAGAAACAGAAATTGAAGCTATTTTAACAGAAAACGTAAACCAACCATTGGCATGGCAACAATCAAAGTTAATGATATTATGTGAGAAATTCCCATCCAATACCTTACAGATGTTCCTTACTAAGTTAAATTTTCATCAAGGTAAGAGAACTTATGACATAATCTTGATAATTACCTGTTATATCTATGTTGTATAAATGAATGGGAAGCACCATTCCATAGTATAACTTGTTACTTTTTTTCTTACGATAAATCTCTATCATTATGTAGATATACTATAAATGTTTACTTTTGATCTTTTATTTACTTTTATTAGATGTCTTTCTTATGGCCTTTGATTGTTGTCATCCATGTAATTGTTTATTGTTTAATTGTGTATATTGTTTGTATTCTCAATGAGGGGCAGAATGGAAGATTATTATTATTATTAATGAGTTGTTTTTGCCTGTACTCAAATAATAATCCTTTCTCAACATGATACTGTGGTCGTTTTTGCTGCCATTCAGTGCTTACCTTACAAACCAATTAAGTACAAGATGCACATGACAAGTCCTCCTTTTAGTTAGTGTACCTATTTACAAAGGACAATAGCCACACAAAGCAAGTTTTCATTTGGTTCTAGTTGTAGTTCTTGGAGAATGTACTAAGGCATAATTACAAGTAGAAATCTGGCACGTAGGCTTACAATCAAATAACCATGTATATGTTATAATCAAATAGTCATCCTGGATATCTGAAAATAACTCAGATGAATGACATAGCAAAGACAATGTCGGTAAAAATCTTATAAATCATGTTGCTATTAGGATGGATGTGTTTTATTTGTATTTTTTCCACCAATCATTTTGAGAAACCAGGGTTCATGTCTAGTGTATTGTATTGATGTATGTTTCTATTAAATGGTACAAGTACAAGATATAAAGATATAAGTGGCTAGTGAAGAGAAACTATATACCTATGATGTTTTTATTTTATTTTCACAAGTATAAGGTTTCTCTCCTCTACCAACTTGACTTCAACAAAGTTTATTATGTAATTGAATGGTAACTGGTTAATGTTAAAAAATCTCAATCTTGCTTCAACCCGAAACATACAAAGCAGCTGTGTACCGCTGTTCCATTGACCATTAATTGGACATCTGTTTTTAGGCGAGAGAAACTATATACATATGATGTATTTTTTTATTTTCACAAGTATAAGGTTTCTCTCTTCTACCAACTTGACCACTACAAAAATCATTATAACAGACTGTTTTTGTGTAAACATACAAAACAGCAACAGACAAGCATTTCTCAGACTTTCTTTGGGTTATAAACAGTTGTCTGTGGGAGTCGGTTTATTTTGTGATGGTTTCTGCTCCTTTTCTTAATGTTAATAATCTTCTTAAATAATTTGTAACCAACATATTGACATGAATAATAATAGCATAATAATCTTGATCTTTATTGCGTTTGGATTGAATTATGATAAATATTTCAGATTGTGTTAATGATGTTGATATGTTAAAATGGAAGAAAGTTTTAGGATTAGATGTAACAGATCCTGGCAGTCAGAAATCCTTCATTTTTAATCAAATATGTAGATTAATATATAAATTATATCCAGAATATTTGGTAAGTCAGAATCTTTTTTGTTGTTTAAAAAAATGTCTAGCTTTCTGCCCTCCATATTGTTCATAACCAAGATGGAAGAGATGCTTTCTCCATGTCAGCCCCTCTGATTTACATCACTGAAAGGAGAAAACTTATGTCAATTACAAACACAACACCAGCCCTAGGTAATCTTGCAAGCTTCAAACTCAATGAGTCACCACAGTTTCCTCTGAATCATTCAAAGTATTGCAAATTTGTATTACTGATGTATTCTTGAACATATGTCTGTCAAATCAGTCCATATTTAAAATTTTGAACATTTTTGTTTTATTTATTTTGATTTATAGGTTAAGTTTGTAAACATGGCACAACAAGTTAGTGAGAGGAATATTGGTGTTTCAGCTTTTGTTCGAAAAAGACATTTGGTAAGCAATTAATTTCATATTCTGCAAGAGATATCTGAATATATTTAACACTGAGAAGAAATTCAATAAAAATCATAAAACTGGAACATCAAATAATCTCTTGAATAATATGAGATCTGTAGTGTACTGTACAGTATGAATTTAACATCAATAGAATAATGTTTGGTGTCATTTGACTTGAGGTTAGATGTAAAATTTTCATTCAAGGGAGAAACCAGTGAAGATATAAATATAAATTACTACTTTGAGGTATATTACTTCTGAAGTCAATTTACATAATTTCCTGCCCCAATTACCACCAGAAAATGCAGATAGTTGCCCTCTTAATCCATATTTATGTGATTTGTTTCTATAGTTACAGTATTATCAGAAGGCTTTAGACTGTCTACCTGACCCAATGACCTCTACACAACCTAAACTAGCAGTTCTATCTACATCTCAACTATTGTTAGCATCGTAAGTTTTCTCTTATATTCTTGACCATACAAACTGAACAGCAGGACATGAGATTTAAAGGGATGGATGCACCATTTTGGGATGTTGATCTGAGTCTTGAATATAAGTAAATAGTCTTCAGAAGTACTAGACATGTACAAAAATGGCATAATTCCCTAAAAAATATCTTAAGCTTGGAATTTCTTTTCCTTTTTCTATAGATGTGTTTTCTATATATGACACTTAATTCTTGACACACATGGATTAGAAGACAGTGAGCTGTGAACAATATTACAGATTGGCTTAGCTAACACAAAATTCCGTTTCTGAGACTATGGTATGGTCAGAAAAATGATTCATCTGTCAATTTATTTTTATTTGGTGAATGCCATTTGAAGTGATTTTATATTTATATTTATACAACATATATTGAGTCGGGAAGTGTTTTTGAGGCCTTTTAGCGGTGCAAATGGTATAAGTGTTGACCGTTATCATTTATTGGTACATTTACAAGAGATATGGCCTAAATGTCACAGTACTGTGACGTTACTGTAGTGTATGACATTAATTTGGTCCATTCAATGCCTAGATGACAATAGCTCCAATTTGTTACTTTTGTACAAAGCTTTAGATGAAGGACCAGTTAACCCTTGTGTATGTTTAATCTATCTTCATTGTGAATGATTTCTAATTCAAGGGGAGATAAGAATTGCTTGATTAAAGCAGTAAGATATTTATTACAACATGAAGAGTGGAATGCAGTATTTAAATTATTACAAGATAATCAGATTGAAATGAAGCAGAAATCAATGCTGTTATATTTACTGGTAACACATTTAACTCAGGTGGGTGAATACACATTATTTGACTTTGACAATGTTTGATTTACAGACATCAATATTGGAACTAATGTTACTTCCATGTTTACCAGCTGTTAAAACTCTATTCCACGTAAAGCCACTGTGGATGTTAAGATTTTGGTATGCTGTTACATGTACTGTTGACTTAATAATATCAGTCATGACAGGCAGTTTTTTATGTATTTATTAAAACCAGTTTTTGGTATTCATATTGTTGATGAAATATGGTTGTCTAGAAATTGACATTTGTTTTAGCCAATGCCGTAAACATTTTTTTTTCCTTTTCAGAAAGGGAATTTATCAGAATATAAGAAAGATCTCTCTCACCTTATTCCTAATAAGGACAGGTAAAAATATTTTTAATATATGCAGCTTCTCCAGCATTTCACCAAACTCCTATCTGTGTATATTGGATAGGATCTAGAAAGTGTTGGGAGTGATAACTCAATGAGTTGTTTATGAGTTGTTGCGGTTAAGAATTCGTTTCAGTTAGCTACATGTATGATTAATTAACTCCCTTCATGAAGCATTATTTGATTTCTTAAAAACTATTATTGCTGTTTGCATAGATTACTGTGGGAACTTGATTTCGACCTTCACAACATATAGTATAAATTTTATATAATTATTCTAATTTCAGTTGTATAAACATTAAAGACATTTTTGAAGAGTCTGAAAACACAAATCTACCAACTAAGAGTCCAGAGCAACCAGCCATATCTTCTATACAGCCTTTATTAAAGGATTTATTTCTGGAAGAACAATAATCAAAACTAATATTTCTGTGATAACTATGGCCTCGGGAATGAGACACATGTATAGAAATATGAAAATGTCATAATTAAAAAAACTTCCAAACATTGTGCAATATTTAAACCATTTCTACATTTGTTATGTTTTGTATTTAGTAAAGATAGATTTTATTTTAGTGTTATCATTCATGATTAGGTACAGCTGGGTACAGATCATTCCCAGATGTAGATCCTTTTAAATAAAGACGATTCCTAGATTGATGTAGATCCTCTTGAATAGAAATTACCCCCAGATATAGGTACTTTATACACATAATCCACAGCTAAAGATACTCCTCCCTGGAATACACATAATCCACAGCTAAAGACACTCCTCCCTGGAATACACATAATCCACAGCTAAAGATACTCCTTCTTGGAATACACATAATCCCCAGCTAAAGATACTCCTCCCTGGAATACACATAATCCCCTAGCTAAAGATACTCTTCTCTGGAATACACATAATCCCTAGCTAAAGATACTCCTCCCTGGAATACACATAATCCCTAGCTAAAGATATTCCTCCCTGGAATACACATAATCCCTAGCTAAAGATACTCCTCCCTGGAATACACATAATCCCTAGCTAAAGATACTCTTCTCTGGAATACACATAATCCCTAGCTAAAGATACTCCTCCCTGGAATACACATAATCCCTAGCTAAAGATATTCTTCTCTGGAATACACATAATCCCCAGCTAAAGATACTCCTCTCTGGAATACACATAATCCCTAGCTAAAGATATTCTTCTCTGGAATACACATAATCCCCAGCTAAAAATATTCCTCCCTGGAATACACATAATCCCTAGCTAAAGATACTCCTCCCTGGAATACACTTAATCCCTAGCTAAAGATATTCTTCTTTGGAATACACATAATCCCCAGCTAAAGATACTCCTCCCTGGAATACAAATAATCCCTAGCTAAAGATACTCCTCTCTGTAATAGACATAATCCCTAGCTACATAATCCCTAGCTAAAGATATTCTTCTCTGGAATACACATAATCCCCAGCTAAAGATACTCCTCTCTGTAATAGACATAATCCCTAGCTAAAGATATTCTTCTCTGGAATACACATAATCCCCAGCTAAAGATACTCCTCCCTGGAATACACATAATCCCTAGCTAAAGATATTCTTCTCTGGAATACACATAATCCCCAGCTAAAGATACTCCTCTCTGTAATAGACATAATCCCTAGCTAAAGATATTCTTCTCTGGAATACACATAATCCCCAGCTAAAAATATTCCTCCCTGGAATACACATAATCCCCAGCTAAAGATACTCCTCTCTGTAATAGACATAATCCCTAGCTAAAGATATTCTTCTCTGGAATACACATAATCCCCAGCTAAAAATATTCCTCCCTGGAATACACATAATCCCTAGCTAAAGATACTCCTCCCTGGAATACACTTAATCCCTAGCTAAAGATACTCTTCTCTGGAATACACATAATCCTTTGCTAAAAATACTCTTCTCTGGAATTTATCTCTGAGATAAATTCTCATTTATCTAATAAAGGCGCTCCAGTTGTCACTAATTCCTTGGGAATATCATTGACAGCAAAAGCGTTATCTCACTACAACGGGCTCAGGCTAACCAACTGATCTGTGTCTTTTCAATTTGTTTTTAATTAGACTAGCTATGTATAGGGGAATATTTCTCAGCCTATTAGGTCACAATCACCGTCTTACTCTTGTTTATTTACTCTTAAGAAGGCTCAACAATGGACTTTCATGACGTTACTAAGAGTTACCTGCCTTTATGACGTCGCGTGTGGTAACTCTATTGTGCCTTGTAAGCAACGTAGAGAAAGGATTATTTTCTTTGCTGTTACAACATAAAATCAAGTTTTTTGTCAGAATTTATCAAAAAAAATTTCGACGAAAAGTTGCATTGTTATCAGGTAACGCTTATTTTGCTTCTTCATATAAATACTTTGACTTATTTCTTTTCAACCTAAAGATGAAAAAGTGCGAAAACTGTTTAAAAGTTCCTTTTCTTGGTTTGTCCTTACATGCCTACTATGAATGATATGCCCGTATACTTTTTTTTACATCGACGTAACTGGAAATTAAAGATAAATATCATAAAATTAGCGATAAATTTAGTGAATACAAATGGATAAATTCACCGTTATTCAAGTTTTGCAACGTCAGAATCTGCTTTAGATTAGAATAAGTATTACGGAAATGAAGCACACACGTTTAAATGATATTATAATTATATTATGGCTTTAAGATAACAGAAGAACATTGCCATTCAGTGTTGTAATTTTTGTTTTAGATCAAAATGAAGAAACACGATCCAGATCGTCATAAGAGACCTGTGTTTCCTGTAGATTTTAGTGTGATGCCATGCTTGGTTGAAAGATCACATGAAAATTCTCCAGTTTCGTCATCATCTAGAGGTATAAAGAAGTATTGGTTATCTCTTGATACTTGAGATTTGTAAAATATAACTTAATAATAACATTGATTATTTCTATGTAAGAACCATACGTAGTTTCGTATGATGATAATAAGGGGAAACCATTACCAAAAAAAAAAAACAATTGAGAAAAAAGAAAAGAAAGCTGGTTCTATTGTTTTTAATCTTCAACTATTATTTCCAGAGTCACTCTCTTTAGATGACGAACCAAGATCACCAGTTAAATTGTCACCAAGAGCTTCAAATTCACCAAAACTAAATTGGTCACCATCACCACCTTCTTCACCAAAATTAAATGGTACATCAACATTTGAGGCAATACGAAAAACATTTGATGATTCTGGTTTTGAAGCATCTCCTCTACAGTCAAAAAGTAAGAACCTAGATTGAATAGATTAAAAAGGCCAACCAAGATCACCCTTTTTTCGTCATTAGAAACGGTCCAGTGACAACTTTCAGCTGGCGCTCTGGAGATTCAACTCCAACTGTCGAGAGCTGACAAATGTATTAGTAAATTAATGAAGTCTTATTATTTCTGTCTTTACAGGTAGAGTTGAACTAAAGAGGTATATCGAGAGATTAGAAGAGAAAAATAAAGATTTAGAAGAAGACAATAAAACTCTTCATAATGAAATGTCTCACAAAATAAAGTAAGTGTTTACTACTCGTGTGCTGTAATTATGGTTTTAGCAATATTGTTTGAGCACAAAAACGGTAATAACGTAAATAGAGCGTGATAGCTTTAACACAATATTATATTTTCTCCTATCATGGGCTATGTTAATGTTATATTGACCGAAGAACTAACTTGATATTATTTTTATTTCAGATTTCTATCAGATTTACAACAAAAGTATGATGAATGTATAGATACAATCGTAGAATTAAATAGTAAAATATACCAACTAGAAAATGGATGTAATGTAGATTCGTCTGGTCAAACTATGGTGTAAGTTAAAAATTTACAATAAAAAAAATAAAAAAATAATAATCTCATTTAGCCGATAAATCTGTACATTTCGAGCACAAAAACCCTTTTAGCGTATCATAGTTAGACCATGACAGCTTTAACAAATAGCAAATAAATCCAGAGCTTAATTATAAGTAATTTGAAGAAACCGATATTTCATGAATTTATTCCTTTTATCTAATTTTTTTTTTAAATTTAGATCATTACAATCATCACAAGCTAAGGATCGAGAAATAGCTGAATTAAAAATAGATATGGAAGACATAGAAAAAGACAGTCGTTTATGGAGAGTCCGCTGCAACCTCCTTGATGTCGATAACGATTTACTTAAAACTCAGATGACCGAGCTTGAACAAACCATAATAGAACTGAGAAATGGAAATGGTGATCAATCACGACCAACAAGCAACCGCTCGAAATCCAAACTTTCAAATCGCGTAAGCCCAAAGACAAAACAATGTTTACCATCAATGGAGTCCAAGAGACCAAAACGACCATCTCTCGCTAAACCAACTGATATTAATACCAGTGGTCAGACTGTACCTAAAGCAACTAAGTCTTCAACCAAAATAAAAGAAGTAAGAAGCAATACTCCCTACCTTCCTCCGATTGAATGTTTAGTTGGGTCTAAATACTACCCTAAACCGCCATCTCAAACAAACCCTAAACTTCAGCAAGCTTCTACCCGTTCTTCTACACCAATCTTCAATCCAGTTCTTCCTACAGATAGTCATTTCAAGTTACCACATCTAACATTTCCACCAAGTAAACCCAAAACCAATAAAACAAGAAAATATATTCGTTAAACGATCACAAGCTGTAATTTCCATTGAGCAGTACTAAGTTAGCTGCATTGTTCAAATAGACTCATTGTGCAGCAGTTAGTTGGATATATTTCAGACTACACTGTTCAATGGGACTGAGGGACACATGCAGTTGCCAGTTGCAGTTAGTTGGAAGTATTTCATACTGGTTTGTTCAATTAGCTACTGTGTTCAATGTTACTCATTGTGTTTCAGTTAGTTGGATGTATTTAGTAGTAATCTAGTTTTAAGAATCCACTGTACAGCCATAGAAAAGTAGTTATTTAGATGTATGTCTGACCACACTGTTTAATGGGGTTCAACAGTTAATGAGAGATCATGAGATGGTGTACTGTACGTTTCTTTTTTATAACTAAAAGTCCATCACAATGTTTCCGAATTCTTAATAACCATTGGGTTGGCCTGTACTCTAGTCTACAACCATCCATAATTTGATGGATTTTCTTTTTATCTGTTATAACTGTAAATACTTCTAATTCAGTATCATTTATTAATCGCCAGGTATCTTGTCCGGTGAGTTCCAGTGTCTTTGATGGTTGCCATGATACCAGCCTGTTTTGGCTTAGTTTCCGTTTCTCTTTTGTGTTATTTTGCATGGAGTATCTATGTCAGCATTTTGAATCTCTCATGTTTTTTTCTTATTTATATCAATTTATCATGAAATAAAATTTTATAAAGCATTATTTAGTGTTGTTTTGATGCGTCGAAATAATGTAAATGTAATTTAAATATTGGTGAAGTATGTGGTGTAAGAAAGATATAGATATTGACAGATAAGTTACGTTTTTACTAGTGTACGATATGACACTTCGTAATGATATCAATTTTTGGCGTCTTTATTCAAACATTGCATTTTATGTGCTTATGATTAAGTTGCTGTACGTTTGTGCGCATGCTATGATAGCGTACCAGTTTCAGTTATGAAGGGTCGTGAGACGGAAAGCACACAACCTTTGGGCTCTACCAAAATCAAAAGAAAAACAATCACAAATTAATTTTCATGTAAGTTAAAAATCATGATTGGAAATAACAATAGAATCCGACAACATATAGTGCCGTTACTACGTTGTCCGTCCCCACCTTCAAATTTCTTACCATTTAACGTAGATAGATTGTTCCTTTAATGAAATAAATCTTATAAAGCTCTATTTAGCGATGTTTTCTATATCTACATGAGGACCGTAGTAACAACTATCGCGATACGCCTGTTGTCATTTTGTATCAGTGAATTCTAGATCACTTATCTAAATAGATAATATTGGACAAGAAAAAATTATTCTCCTTCAGTTGCATCAGCACAACAACAAATTTTTAATCTTACGCGATTTAACCTAGATCAGATACCTGTCATAATTTTATTACAAAGAAAAGTGTAAAGATTCATATAATCTTATTTATTTTGTCTGCCTCTTATAGCAATCTTGAAAGTTAATGATGGTGTAGCTAGAAACTGCCAGAGAAGGTTAACCCTAGTTTTGGAAAATCAATAAGGGTTAGCTCACGAAAAGTTTAAAGCTCGTTCCAAGCTATGGTTTCCGCATAAAAAATGAAAAGAGCACTTTGTTGAGCATCTTCTAAACACAAACAAGCTTCGACAGGGACTCGAACTCTGGACCCCAAAGTTGCCAGACGAGTGCGCAGCCCACTGGGCCGCCGAGACCTAGGGTTAGGAAGGCTAAACCCTAGGGTTAAGACTAGTTTTTGAAAATCAATTAGGGTTAACTCAGGAAAGGGTTAAAGCTCGTTCAATCTATGGTTTCCGCATATGAAATGAAAGAGCACTTCGTTGCGCATCTTCTCAACACAAAATGGTCCGGATAAAAGAATAAAATAGGGATTTAAATGGGCCCAGAACCATTGTTACCCCAGTGGGCCCAAAGGGGTTAATAAAAGTGGACGATTTGGTTTCAGCTCTGGCAAGTCCATGCTAGCTTTCACAGACCACTTTGGTATACTTAAAATGGTAGAAGAGACGCTGTTAGACTTAGCAAAAAAAATTTTGTTGGTAAAACTTCGTCAGGGACTCGAACCCAGGACCCCAAAGTTGCAAGGCGAGTGCGCAGCCCACTTGGTCGCCCAGACCTGGGGTTAACCCTAGCTTGACACGAGGCCAGTCTAAGAGTGATTGTTGGCATTCTGCTCGTAAGGAAAAAATAACATCATCTAACTTTGGCAAGATCTTAAAGCGTAAAGGTACCACTGAACCAGATGCACTATTGAAAGACCTGTGTGGTTATAGAACTTTTTCTAATGAGTATGTGGAGTTTGGTCGAAAACATGAGGCTGCTGCAAGAAAGACAATGTGGACTAATTGTTAACACTGAATTCCCACACTTAGGAGCTAGCCCTGATGGTCTGGTTTACTGCACAGAGTGCAAACCTGTTGGCCATTGAATATTGGAAATAAAGTGCCCAGCATCAATGGAGTGGAGGATGTTAACACCTCATGAATGTGTAAAAGATTTTTGTTACCTTAAAAATGAGGCAGAGGTCAAATTGAAAGAAAGTCACAATTACTACTTTCAAGTGCAGGGTCAGATGGCAATCTCAGGAAAGAAATGATGCGATTTTGTTGTGGACCTGTAGTGGGGCGGTATCAGTTCACAGGATAATGTTTAATCCAGATCTGTGGATTGACATTCGTGATAAATTAAATGTTTTTTACAGGGAATCATTCCTTCCTGAACTATTTAGTGCACGTGTGTTGAGAGGACTCGTGTTATTTCCATAAATCCACATGTAAATATTCAATGTTTTATAGTTATTGCCCTTGACTCAATACAAACACATCAAGTCTGATATAGATAGGTAGTTTTCATTTAATCTTGATGATACTCGACTTTGTATTCATATGCTATTAAGAAATATTTATTTTTACAATTTATGTGATGTCTAAATCTTCACTAGTATTTTTGCATAGCAAGTCTTGTTTTTATTGTTACTTGTTTAAGTTGTTCGCAATTGTTTAAGTTATATAATATCAGATTTATATTCTTCAATTGTCACATGCAGCCCTCGCAAATATCATTGAAATCAAAGGGAGACAATTTATTTGCAACAGCTAGTCCAGTTTGAAGTAGTTAAATATTAGTATTTTCTTGTTGGACCTATTCCATAATAAATACTTTTTAAAGGCAGATGACAACTGTTTTTATTTTTCAAATGTTATGTTAACATGTAGATGGGATACTCAACTTGTTTGTTTTGCGTGTTCTTTGCACAAACACAAGCAATTCTCAATATTTTAATATTGAATCAACTTTTGCCATAAAAACAAATTTAGATATTTAATTTAAATATAACAATCACATATCTATGGAATGTTGCACATTATTATATAATTAAACAGCTGAGAGCCTGATTTCCACTTGAATAGATAATTTATTTTAGATTTCTCTGACATCTTTAACATAGACAAGCCAAGTAAACAATTTGATGGTTATGGAAGCACCCACAAGATCAAAGGTCATATGATGCTAGGTCATAACCTACAAGTTTTTTTACTGGGTTAGTTATTATTAAGGAAGTCAGAGATATCTTAAAGGGATTGTAAAGAGGTTTTCTAAATTTTTAATGTGAATTGGGACATCAATTTGCAACATTCAAATTTTCAATCAGATGTCTGTGGTTCCTGCAACTAAGTGTTTGATGATGTCACTAATCGCGAATGACCTTAAGTGATAAAGATAAAGTATACTTTGCGATTAGTGACGTCATCAAACATTAAGTTTTAGTGGAATTGTAGGAACTACGGACGTCTGATTGAAAATTGGATTGGTGCAAATTGATGCTATCAGTTTTCCCGATACACATTAAAAATTTATAAAACCTCTTTACAATCCCTTAAAACAAATTCTTGATTGAAGCTGAAACCGTATATATAAATAAGAATATTCCAGATCAATCAGAAGATCTAAATCTACTTTCTGGAACCAAAGGGGGTTGTAAGTTTGTTAATCTTGCACATAATCGCCATATCTTTGATGCCTGATTAGCCATGGTGATGGGAATGACACCTTGTGCAATTCGGAAATTCTTGATCCTTTCCATCTGGCGCTCTACGTGAATGCGTGCATTTGCAATGCCTTTTGTTCTTTTAACACCCTGTTTAGAAAATTTCACTTGCTTTTTCTTAAATGGGGGTATAATCAAATTTATTCCTCTGGGGGTGGTCAAATCAGATATGGTGAAGCCCTTATCAGCCATAATAGAATCTCCTGGTTCACAGAGTTCAACTAACCCACTTTCTATGGTGAGTTGCTTGTCACTAATACTCCCACACCAAAGATCTGATACATAAGTGACAATGCCAGCTGGACTAATTCCTATTAAAGATTTCCAGGTCATATGTGATTTGTAGTCACTGTACATCAAAGATTTTAACTTTAATGATGAAGGTGTCTCCGTTCGAATCTCTGTAGCATCTATGATGACTCTTGTCGTCGGAAACTTATCTTTAAAAATTTCAGGCATATTGCTATCTATGACATCTCTGCTGGGCCACATGACAAGAACAGATAACTGATTATCTAGATAATCAATCCACCTATTGAAAATATCGCCACATGTTGTTGTTGATATACGAAATCTATATGCTAAGTCCTCTAACAGCAGACCCAATCTAATTCGCCTAAGGACCATAAAAAACTCATTTATACAACGTAAAATGCGGGGCCGATCACCGCATCCATAGTTTGATCCACTTCCCCTTATTGTTCTCTCCTCTGCATCAGATTTTATCTCGTCAAACAAAGCATCAAACGTGTTGCCATCTGGAATTCCTGTATAAAATAAAACTTTCTGTGCATCTGATTTGATGTCATCATAAGTTAATATGGGAAGGGACACAGATAATTCCATTTACAGTCTGACACTCAACATCTTGAAAACAAGAAACTAAACAACCACCTTCTGTTTGAGTTCTAATTGATCTAGTACTTGATGGTGATGTTTGAATATACTGATTCCTGATAGTAGAATGGTTTTTAACATCTGGTTGTCCCAAATAATCATGGACTCGCAGGGATGTATCTAACATTGATCCAGAAGTAACAAACCCGTGTTCACTGTTTGATGATGCCTCACTGTCAGAACTGATACTAATATCTTGTTCATTGGCCGAAATAACTAAAACCTCGTTATCTTCATGGTTTTCATCTATTTTCTGAAAACAAGACGGTTCAAATAATTAAGGAATTGTTTTCCTTTTCCAGTTTTAAAATGATGCCACAGTAAGTTCTATCTTTATTGGCGCGGTACAGGTATTAGATGCATGCAATTCAGAAACCATGCAAAGGGAAAGTGTCATGGCATCAGGTAATTAAAAAAAGAGTATGTTCCTGGCTAGAATCAGAATGGGTCTACCTACATCTACAGGGCATCATTGGCCATGGCTTGGCCAATTGCAATGCCAATCAAAGTGGTCCTAGTAGTAGGCCTAGTCATGGTAGTTAAAGACAGGAGGGACAAAGTCAAAATCTAGTAATCATAATTCAATCAAAGTCATATTAGTTTAGATCTAGGCCTACCAGTATAAATTAAACAAATTCACATAAAAAGAAATTGGCAAAACGAGATTCAGAAATGACAAAGGCCAGAGAAAAAAACGAAAATCTTACCGAAGTTCTAGGTGTTATAGTTTTATGTTGGTGTGGACTATAAACACAACGTTCAGGAGGACAGCTTTACTCAGAATGAATATTATACAATAATGACATGCGCAATAGACCGTACAATAAGTTACGTCACGCGAGTGGTTATCACATGATACAACATCCCCCTGTTTTTGTAAGATAACATTAATATTTAAGGTTTGAATTGTTCAATATTTAAATAAATATATTGGTCTTTGTAACGACTTGGTGTTTTTATTTCACGTCCAGATCTCGACTTCACATATTGATGTTCTGATGAAGGGCGCGTAGTGGTTTGTCTTCTTCCGTTGTACTGTTGGTTGGTGGAATTATTGGATTCGATTCTAGACCGTTGTGATTTCCATGCAACGGTTGGGCAATGGTTGGAGTTGGTTGGGGTAGTGCAAATCTTACTGTTTTAACTGGTTTTGGAAAGGTGTTATAACTTAACAGTGTTGGCTGTGGTTGTGTTGATGCTCGTTGATGCACTTCCCGTAACTGAGATCTATTACGTCGGACTGTGGTTCCTAAACTCGTCCTGACGATATATGATCTGGGTGGGTGTAGTAGCTTTTCAACAATATGACCTGGAGTCCATGTTTTCGACCTGTGGCCAATTATGCGGACCGGCTGGCCGGAAAATAGACGAGGCAATTCAGTTGGCAAGGAATGACTGTCATGATGGACTTTCATGATTTTGCTTCCTGTTGATTAGATAGGATCGTTTTTCTTCTATCTTTGGACTCGGGGTCTGGTGAGAGGGTAAGGTGGTACGAATGGGTCTACTCAAAAGGATTTCGGCTGGTGAAGATAAGTTATGATCAACCGGAGTAGCTCTTAGATGTAGAAGTGCTTTATCGATATCTTGTTGACTTTTGATACATTTTTTGATGATAGACTTCACTGTTCCAATTGTACGCTCTGCCATGCCATTTGACTGTGGAAAATGTGGAGAGGAAGTAGTGTGTTTTATCCCCCAGTCATTGCAGAATTGTTGGAACTCTCGTCCAGTGTACTGTGGACCATTGTCGCTAACGATTTCTTCCGGTACACCAAAAATCGAACATCTCTGCTGTAACAGATGCACTGTTGATTGAGTTTATCAGCTCCTTGATTATTGGGTATTTGCTGAAGTAATCAACAACTAACAGGAAATGTCTTTCGCTGATTTGAAAAAAATCGGTTCCAAGTTTTATCCATGGAAAAGGTGGTACATCATGTGGTTGGAGTGGTTCGGACTTTAGGTTGGAATTCTTGACATTGGTCGCAGTTGCGGATCATCTTCTCGATATCTGCATTGATATTAGGCCAATAGATGGATTCTCGAGCTAATTTCCTAGTTTTCTCTATACCTTGGTGAGATGCATGAAGTTGGGAGAGAATATCAGCTTGCAGGGTCTTTGGAATAATTATCTGTCGGCCTTTGAAGATAATTCCTGATGTGACAGCTAACTGGTCTCTGTATGACCAGTATGGTCGCAGCTCACGGGTCAACCCTTTTATCGTGTCCGGCCACTCCATAAGAATAGTCTCACGAAGTGCGTTGAGTACAGGATCAGCAGTTGTCTCGCTTCGTAGTTGATCTTGTTTCGATGTCTATGTACACTATCAATTACAAGCGTTTCGACACGTTCATCTAGAGGTATTTCACTTGAATTCTTTGGGTTTGGTAGTCTGCTAAGGGTATCTGGTATGACTAGTTCTGGACCAGGTTTGTAGACTAGATCAAAATCGTAGCCGGCTAGTTTCAAAAACATGCGCTGAAGCCGAGGTGGTGCACTGGTAATTGGTTTCTGGTGGATCATCACAGGTGGTTTGTGATCGGTGATGACTGTAAAGCGCCTGCCATACAGATAGACATGAAAACGATTAATACCATGCACCAAGGCAAGAGCTTCTCGTTCGATGTTTGAATAGGCTGCTTGAATTGGCGTTAAGGATTTTGAGGCAAAGGCAATTGGCTTTTCCTGTAGTAGTGCTGCTCCAAGTCCTTTTTAACTAGCATCTACTTCAAGAATGAGAGGTTTACTGACATCGTAGTAGGAAAGGCAAGACTCGGTAGTGATGAGCGATTTCACTCTCTCAAAGCAGGTTTGATGATCTTCTGACCATTCAAATGGTACATCTTTTCGGGAGAGGCTGGCTCTCGGAACTATAGTTTGGTATATATGAACTGAGGTAGGTCATCATTCCAAGAAATCGTTGAAGAACTTCTTTGGTTTGAGGAGTAGGCATTCTTTGGATATCACGTATCTTATCAGGGTCGGGTATGATGCCGCGATCTGTGTACAGTGGTATCTCTTTGCAGTTGATGATACATTTGTCCGAATTGAATACAATTCCTTTCTCTACTGCTCGGAACATGAGATTCAACAGATGTTCGTCATGTTCTGCCTTGCTGGATCCAAAAACACAGACATCAGCAATTCCAACAACTCCTTTAAGTCCTAGGATTTCATCCATGCGTTGTTGGAAGATGTCTTGGCTGATAGACAAACAAAAAGGTAGACGTGTCCAGCAGTATCGTCCAAAGGGTGTACGGAATGTGGTTAGCTATCTTCATCTAAGGGTACGGACCAGTATCCTGCCTTGGCATCGAGTTTGGAGAACACATTCGCAGATGCGAATGCTGGGTTGAGTTCTTGGGGTTGGTATCTTATGAGGGCAACGTTTGAGTGCGTTGTTAAGTCGCTGTGGATCAAGGCATGCTCTTATTGTGCCGTCACGTTTCCTGGCATACACCATACTGGAGCACCAATCTGTGTGTTCCGTCATTTTCCGTATGACTCCAATCTTCTCCATCCGATCTAGTTCTTCTTTGATGGGTTCCTTCATGTGGATGCTACATTTTCTTGGTGGATCGATGAATGGCTCAGCATCCTCCTTCAAGAATAATTTAGCTGGATTCTTCAGGTTCCCAATTCTGTCGAACTGATCCGGAAAACGTTCCTTGAGATCCGCTATTGATTCAATTGGTTTCTGTGAGGTAGTCTGTGACGATCCAATTTCATCACAATTGATTGTAACAAGTCGAAGTGTTTCACAGGTGGGCAGACCTACAATGGCAGGTCCGGGGACATCAACCACATAGAATAGGATATCTTCAAACTGCGATTGTTTGAAACTACAGGAAAGTTTCAATGTCCCATGACAAGTGATTGATTGACCATTGTAGGCCAGGAGACGCAATTTGCCAATTGGTTTAAGGATGGATTTCGTGGACATATCTCCATATATTTGACGGAATGTTCTGATTGGTAAAGTGTTTCCGGAAGCACCCGTGTCCACCTTGAGAGTCAAGTTCTGACAATCTTGGACCTCTAAACTGTAAAGTTGTAAATGCTTCATTGCGCACCGACTCCTGGTCAATAGAGTCAAGGCATTGGTTAGAGACAGTTATGGAATAGTATGACATAGAAAAAAATTATCACAATAAGAGTCTATATTGTCAACATTTTCATCTGTGCTGCCAGGGCGATGAGATTGTCTTTTGAAGTTTCTGTTTCGCTTCTGTGATGGTTTCCTAGAATGTTTGGGGTTGTCGCGACCTCTTGATTTTGGTCGACCCCTGGAGTTTCCATCACGTTTCGATTTTCTGCAAAACTTCTGCCAGTGTCCTTTATTACCACAGTATCCACATGTATCTTGGTATGCAGGGCATTCCTTAAACTTGTGGTTCAGACCGCAATTTTGGCAAGGTTTGGTGGATCCTTTTGTTACAGAACTAATAGTTTGTGAGGATGTGACTGGTTTGTGAAGATGTTCTATCTGTTGGTGTCCTGCCGCCAGAGCTTCATATTTCCTGCCTTCGACAAGAGCTTCTGTAAGGGTGTACTCTTTATCTTTGCCCAAAAGGTCTCTTCTGAAGGATTCGAATGGGGTACTTGCTATTAGCAGTTCGAGAATTCTTTCTTGCAACTCAGCGTTTTCGAAATCACATTTTAGAGCCAAGGTTTTACATCGTGTTACGAAATTGTCAATATTTTCACCTGGTTCTTGGCGAAACTGCATCAGCTCCAAACGATGAACTCG